CGCCGTCGGTGGTTGACCCGACGAAATCGGTTCTGACGTGACACATTTCAGGATTTCTCGCTACCATCCCTCCTGGCCTTCCCCCCACCACTCAGGGTAAATTCTGCAGCGAGTGTCAGACCCGAGGTCGACCCGCGGCCGAACGAGCCGCGGTTTGTCACAATTTAACTGGGGCTTTAATTTTCTTGATGGTGCAGCGGTTGCATAGTTGTGAACTTTCGCAAGGGGAGGGTTGCGACTATGTTGGTAGAGCTTTTCAAGTCCAACCGAAATTTATTAAGTTATGACTGGTGGAAGTTCATTTGCACGACTTAGTTTGTTGTTCGGTTTGACAGCTGACTGGCTGAAGCCGTCACTTTTGGCAAGACCCAAGGCCTTTTTTTTTCCAGCCTTGGATCTTCCCGCTAAACCCTCGGGTCTAACACTCGCTGCGGAATAACCCTCATTTTCAGCAAGCAGCGTACATTGCGAATGTTTCGATGGTGACCTCTGCTATCGCACCTCCCCTTTCGCTTCTCGAAATTCACAATCGGAAGTTTCGCCGCAGCGCCCAATTCTCGGATCGCGCGCAATCCCAATGTGCATTGGAAATTGACCCCCACTTCTTCCAACATCCTTGACAGCATCAGTCGCTGTATGGAAAATTTCGCCGTCCTAGCGCTGGTAGTAGTAACGTGAGTAAGGTGAGCTTGAGTCCCTTTCCAACGTCTTCGGCAGCATGAATCGTTTTCACGGTTCTTGCGCAACTCAACCAGTGCGAGCACAACCACTGATGACTTGCATGACTAGGAGCTCAGAACTTGTACCTGATGCTTTGAACTATTTCTGACACAATTTATCTGACAAGAAACCTTTAGTTTTGGCGCTCCAAAAGGCAGAGGGAAACGCTATGGATAGGTTACTAGAAACTTAGCTTAGCATCAGCCCTAGCCCTAAGTTCCCTCACCTACGCCAGCGTACTTCTAAAATTTCTCAAATGTCTCCGAAAATGTCGATCCTTCCGCCACAGGCCACATGGCCCCCTCCTCTTCCTCGCATCAAAACGCGGTGCAAGGAAGCAGCAAACCTACAAGATCCAAATTCGAGAGCCGCAACAGGCTCGCCGCAACCAGGGCAGGCCTCAAAATAGCCGGGTGAAATGCCCTGATTGCCCTGATTTTTCCGGGTATTTTTCATGTTACTCTTAAAAATCCGACTTGTAATTTTTTTAAGGCTGATTCAAAAAGTGTTCGCCTTTTTTTACCCTGCTAGAACCAGGGTTGGGTGCCTCCCAGCCCTGAGGCGTCAGGGTAGAATGAAAATTACCCTGATACAGAAACTCCAAAGAGGCAAGATACGTGCCAGATTTTGTGCGAGTGATGCCCGCCACGCCACCGCCACGCCCCTCGTCAGTCCGAAGTTTGTTGCCCACCATCATCACATGCGCATGGGCACGTGTTGATGGTACCACCTCGTTGGCTTTGCGCCGCCTTACGATTGGTTAGAGTGGCAGCATTGTTTCCTCGCTGGGTGACAAGTTCGCGCGCCGACAGTGAATGCTGATGCATGCAGCAACTTCACAGGTTTTTTCCTGTGAGCTGAGCGGTCCCAAACGAGGCTCTTGACTGCACACCTTTTGTGTCTCGCAAAACGCCCTTCTTCTCCATACGTTTCTTCCAGAAACCATGCCCCCTGACTTGCAACGAGCATTCCCTCACCCAGTAGAGTTTCGAGTAGCTGGATCGTCCTTCAGCCATGGCGCTCGATGCTGCCGATCCTCCTGACCCTCCCCCACTGAATGGACTCAGCGTTCTTGGGGTTTTCCCCCTCCTCCCGCCGCGTAGAGTTGCGCCTTCCCCGCCGCGCAATCCCTCGCTCGACAAGCGTGCACCCCCTCCGCAACAGTTTCTTTTTGAGCCAACGTCCCCACCTTGCTCTTCTCATGCTGCTGAGGCGATCGACCTCAACCTGTTGCACAGCGAAGGCACTTCTGGCGAGGCACCAGAAGTTGCTGAGTCTGTCGCCACCGCTCCCGCCAAGAGGAAGGACTGCGGACCATGGACTCAGCGTCGGCTTCCTTGGGCGCCACCGCCGAAGAAGCCGGCTGCACCGCCTACTCCTCCGCCTGTTGCTCCTACTCCGCCCCAGAATCCCGCTTCTCATGTCGACGCGGAGTATGAGGTCGTGAATCGTCGCTTCGTGGACGACTGGTCACGACGCTTCCCGTGGCTCCGACTTACTCGTATGAAGAACGGCCGACCTGCCCTCAAATGTGCCCTGTGTCTCCAGTACGGTGATGCTTTCTCCAACACTTCATATGGCAGGAAAGGAGAGGGTGCGCGCGATCTCCAGGTGGGCAGCATCCGAATCCACATTGGGACACGTGCTCACAAGGCGGCTGTCAAGGCGCAGCAAGAACGGGAGAAAGAGACGGATCAGCAGAAGACGCTAGACCGATGGGCGGTGACAGATGCATCGACGAAACATCTCATCCGGTGCTTCCATATCGCCCTTTTTGTCTGTAAGGCCGACGCGCCCATCACGATGTACGTGGCGCTTTGCTACTTCCTCGTGTCCGAGGGCTTACCCGATCTCCCGCAGGGTCGGGCGTATGGGACCTACTACACGGAGTGAGTTTTGATATCCGAATCCCTCTTCTCCCGTCAATGCATTGCATGTCGCCGCAGACATCGAACGTTGCCGTAATTTCCTTGTATGTGTCCACTTGCTCTCCAACTTTCTTACCAGTAGCCTATCCATTCCCATCTCCCCCTACCAGTTATGGCTTCAAGCAAGGGACCAAGGCGATTTCCGAGTACCTGAAGGACGAGCAGCTCCACCACATCCTGAGCTCCCCGTTTGTCGGCATCGCCATCGATGAAAGCACGGACCGCGTGCACGGGAAGCATCTAATTCTGTATGCTACGTTCTTTCGTGGCAACTCGGTAGTCACAGAGTTTGTCACTCTGCTAACTGTCGAGCGGACCGATGCGGCGTCTCTGACGGCGGTTCTTCTACAGTACCTGCAGTACATCGGTCTCGACCTCCAGAAGATCGTCGGGATGGCTACCGATGGAGCATCGGTAATGACCGGTGTGCAACAGGGAGTGGTAACCCGCCTAAAGAGGCGGATTGAGCACCTGATGGCTGTTCACTGCATCGCCCATAGGTGGGGTGTTTTACTCGCTACCCTCATGTTTTCAGTAGAACGCTCCAAATCATTGCATCTGTTCTAGTGTTGTACTCGTTGACCGTATGCTTTTCCTCTGCTTGTCGGACTCATTGCTTTTTTGTGTTTAATCCACTCCTCCCGCCAGAGAGGCACTTGCGGCGAAGGATGCTGCCGCTGCTGTGGCCGAGCTACAGATCATCGACATGCTCATCCGTGCTTTCGCCGAGCTCGTCGGTCGCTCCAACAATCAGCACCTCAGCTTCATAAACTTCCAGCTGGTGTTTTGCAACACCAATCTAGAGATGCAAGGGATCCACGCCGTACGTTGGTTGTCGCGCGGAGAGGCGGTGATCCGCTTCGTCGAAGTGCTGCCGGCGGCCATCGTCTTGCTGCGTGATCACCCCAGCGGTCTTTTCGAGATTGTGACGTCGTTCAAGGTGCAGTTCATGCTGCACTACCTCGCCGACATACTGGAGGAGCTGAATCACCTTAACACCCGCTTCCAGCAGCGCCAGGTATGACACTCCTCTCATCGTTGAATGTCGTCAGTACCATGTGCTTGCATCTAGGCACTTAGTCATACTTTGCACGTTTATTTTGCATGTCGTTCATGGTGCCCTGTTTGCTTTGAAATTATCTCTGTGTTTTCGTTGCAGGTGGATCTCACAATCGTGGCCTCAGTGGTGGACAACACGTGCAACCGCATCACCGACCGCTACATCAAGTGCGGCGGTGGTCTCTTCTTCGGGAACGGCAGCGAGAGGCTTGGGAAATTCCTGGAGCGTCACGGGAGGCCCGACCAGCGCCGCGTGCGCGTTCAAGGCGTTGACTCGGAGGGGAATGCTCAGGCGTTCGAGTATGTGCTGCATGAGCGGATGGTGGAGGGGCACAACACCAAGAGCGACCTAGACTCCTGCGCCCAAGTCTGCCGGAAGCATGCAATCGATGTCGTCACCAACGTCCGTGCCCGCCTGAAGGACCTGGCTAACATGGAAGGATGCAAGCTCTTCAAAGCCAAGACCTACCCACGAGACGACGAGTTGCGCCTAGCGAGATGCAAGCAGTGGCTGAAGCAGTCCCACAACCTCTTCGATGGAAAGCTCCCAGGTGAGACAGATTTGTTCTCGATGATGCTGCCTGTCATCGATGCTTGCGTGTCCGTTCTTAGGCTGCAGTCCCCGCAATCCATTTGCAGCAACATTCGTTGCACATCTCCCCTCAAAGGCTTACTGTTTCCTATCCTTTGAATCCCAACCCCACCATCCTGTAGGCTTCGACTACAACAAGGCCGTCACGGAGCTGTGGGTGTTTACTGCTACCATGGTGTCGCAGTACAAAGATGACGAGTTTCAACAGGGGCTCACCTTGACTCTGGACAACAATGAGTGGCAGCGGAGCTACCCCAACATCCTCAAGCTGTGGCAGGCACTGGCGGTGCTCCCTCTCAGCACAGTGGAGTGCGAACGTGGTTTCTCGAAGCAAAATCTGATCAAGTCATGGAGTCGTGGGTGCCTTGGCGATGACAGCCTGGGCGACTTGATGCGGTGCTCGCTCCTGTGCTACCAGATTGACTGGTTTGATGTGGTAGCTGTTTTCCGAGGTGAGAAGCGGCGGCGGCCTCTGCGCGACTTGTGTTCTGCCAACCCAACTCCAGCTGCGGCTTCTGCAGATGCAGGCACCATAAGGACTGACCCTGACCCTGACCCAGTTCCACTAGAGGATCCTAGTGTGCTGTAGGTCGTGTGGTTGTGATTTTCCTTGCCTACGTTCCTAGTTCATGCTAATTATTTCCATATGTTAATTATTGACATGCAGTGTAGCTAGGAATATAGTGCATTTCATAACGTGAAACTGGGTTCTGCTTTTTTTACCCTGAGCACCCAGAGTGCCGAATGTTCTACCCTGCTGAATCAGACTTGAGAAAAATTGTACTCTGACCGGCAGGGTAATTTTTTTTTGGCACTCTGATTCCTAAGAGTGGCCTAAAACCAATTTTGAGGCCTGAACCAGGGCCAAAAGAGAGGTCACGGCCACCGGATTCGAAGTCACCGGCGAATTCCATTCAGAGGCGCGTTGGGGACTATTCCGGCGGTCGGTCAACTATAGACGTGTCTAACGGACGCTCCAATGGCGCTCCTCCAGCAGCAGTAGATGATTTCCACATCACGAAAATGTGCGGCGCTGAAAGTTGCGGGGGGGAAGCTTTTCTGTGGAAATAAAGCAACTTTAGCCTGGTCCATGAAAGTTGTTTATATGTTGTCAATTAAAGTTTCCTTACGGCTCCCAGGGCATGGCTGCGGCAAAGTTGCGCCACGCAATCTGGAAAGCTGCGAGATGTGTGCGGGGAAGCTACGATCAGGTGGATACACGAAGTACTTCACACAAACCTTAATGCTGTTTCCAAGCAGCTCTCATGGTACATGCGGGAGGTACTAAATGTCTACTAAATATATGCTGCCACGTTGCAGAAAAGCAGCCACAGGAGTTATGCCAAAGCTACGGAACAGGCGCTAAAAAGAGATCAAGAAGCTGAAGTTAAGAATACTACTAGCAACATGGGTGTTACAATCAAGTCACCAAAAAGCCAACAACACGCGGCCCCACACTATCCGTCCCACGCCGCCCGGGGCTGTCTCATGCCATCCTGCCCGTGCCTAAACAACCCTCCTAGTGCGCAAGGGATGCCACTGCAGCAGAAATCGTGGCAGTCCACGATTTCTGGAAGCACCCAGGTCCATCACGAGGGTCCTCAGGGTGCGGTCAGCCGTGCTCGGCTTAGGGAGCCTCCGGCGCCACCGGCTTCAGCTCCTCGAGTCCGGAAGCACTCAGGCAGAGGCCATGGCTGCCCCACTTCCAGCAGCCCTCGGCATGGTCGAAGGTGGGGTTGTGGGTGCCAATCGCATCCACAATTGCCTCCTTGGCCAGCTGATGCAGCTGGGTCATTGCAGCCACGTTTGTTGCAGGCAGAGTTGGAGAGCGAGGGCTTCCCCCAGTTCCAGTTCTTGATCGACTCACCAATCGTGCAGATTGGGAGGGGGAGAGGGCGTGGGGGGGGCGGGCTTGTCAAGCGCATGAGTGCCGCCCAAAATGGTCAGACGGGGATTGAATGGACAAGGAAATGCACGCAAAACGCCGGGTCTCGATGTCTCACCACGTGCTCCACCCACGCGAGGTGGTAGACCTTCACGCGAAGGGGGGTGGAGACGTCAAGAGTGAAGGCCCCCCTGCATGCCGCCGCAACGGCGGACGTGCCATAGGGGAGGCCCTCCCTGTCGCGGGACCACCTGCCAAGGCCAGGGCTCTCTGCAATCAGCCAGGTCAGTACAAGGAGTGGGATGAATGGGAGGGTGGAGAGGAAGGTGTGGTCATAGGGTTTAGGAATCGGCCCATTTGCAGGATTTGGGCCAAGCGAATAGGCAAGACAGGCAATAACTCCAAACCCAAAACAAGGCCTAGCACAAAACTATGGCAAGGACCATGGCCTGGCACACATACTTGGGCTCATGACGGGGTGCTCACCCACGGGGCCGACGTCGGCCTGCTGCTCGTCCCGGGCAGCCCACGGCTTCCTTGCGTCGGCCTCCGTCATGAAGAGCCCGAGCGTCAGCAGGATGCACCCGCGAATGTTTGCAGCGGCCGCGGACTTCCAATCGCTCAGCGTTTTGTTCAGGTCTGACATGCACTGCCTGTCGGCACGCAGAGCAACCCGCGCATACACGGCCGGGATACGGTCCGCGGACGCACACGTCGCATCGACCTTCAGGTCACGGCCTGGGTAGAGTGTCATTACGTTGTCATGAACATGGTAGAAGAGGTGCTTGCGACTCAACACGCATATCTCCTAAGAGTGGGGGTTAAGGGTTGGAAAGGTCAGTGCATGACTCCAGCAGCAATCTATCGCCAGGCAGGGACTTGTGCGCATGGGCAGCAGCAGAGAGAGCGCCACCCATGGCAACACGAGGCCATGGGTGATATGACGCATGGGCAGCAGCAGATAGAGCGCCACCCATGGCAACACGAGGCCATGGGTGACATGACGCATGGGCAGCAGCAGATAGAGCGCCACCCATGGCAACACGAGGCCATGGGTGACATGACGCATGGGCAGCAGCAGATAGAGCGCCACCCATGGCAACACGAGGCCATGGGTGACATGACGCATGGGCAGCAGCAGAGAGAGCGCCACCCATGGCAACACGAGGCCCTGGGTGACACGACGCATGGGCAGCAGCAGAGAGAGCGCCACCCATGGCAACACGAGGCCATGGGTGACATGACGCATGGGCAGCAGCAGAGAGAGCGCCACCCATGGCAACACGAGGCCATGGGTGACATGACGCATGGGCAGCAGCAGAGAGAGCGCCACCCATGGCAACACGAGGCCATGGGTGACATGACGCATGGGCAACAGCAGATAGAGCGCCACCCATGGCAACACGAGGCCCTGGGTGACATGACGCATGGGCAGCAGCAGAGAGAGCGCCACCCATGGCAGTTGACAAATAGAGATCGGTAGTATACAAAAAGAAAGTGCCCACTCTCATGACGGAGTAACTTAGGGTTAAAGGGTGACCTCGACAGATAAAAAATCAAACAGGGTGGTTTCCAACTTTGTGGGGTTTGCAAAATGGATTTGCTGCGACCCTCGCAGCACCCAGAAAGCCAGGTTACTCCTCGCTGACCTCGCCAACCCCATGATCTATTGGTCGATGCACCTCTAACGAGATCGTGCCCTCAGCCGTCCGATCTGGCACGAAACGCAAACCATCGAGTGGGTGTGCGCCATGCCAGGCTCGTCAAACTCGCCCCATCTGCTAACGCATCAATGCACACTCGTCCTGTGGCATACCCCACCTTTCCCTATTTCAGCGAGCCTGTGACATACAGTGCCTTGAAATAAAAAACCCCCAACATTCCCGTCGCTACTTAGTTACATAGGGTATGACAAACTCTCCTCCTCCTTCCTGCCCCCTGAAAACGGGTCCTATCGCTATCCTTGTCGACAACTCTCAGGACGCGAGCGAGGAATGGGCGCCACTTGATCTTGAAGACAACCCGACAGCGGACGTCGACCCGCAATCCGAACGCGTGCCCTCCCCTCCTCGCAAACGGAGTGCCCGAGAATTACGAAAGCTTTTACAAACATACCCGAAAAACACGGCGAAAACGTCACCCACTCTTCGACGGGAAATAATTATGTCTACGCCCAGAGAAGGGGAGGACCGGCTAATCCCAGCCGTCCATTGGACAGGACCTGACGGCATTGGAGACGCCCGCGCAATTAATCTCCGCGTCGTCCGCTCGCCATCAGCATCCTTACGCCCCCTTCCCCGATAGGGTCTGCTCCCCTATCGAAAACCTAATGGGCAGGAACGTAGCTCTGATACCGTAATCCCACGGATATAGGCGCATAGGGGCTTAAGGAAATACCTATCAAAAGTGGCATGGGCATGTAATCGAATAAAATTTATAAAAGCCCAGGGCTTATGAAAGGAATTTTATGGAAAAAAATATTTGAGCATGTGAAAATGTAGTTGTCGAATTTTGCGTTCTAGCGCGTGTCTTTCCAAAGGGCGGCATGTTGACAAATCGCGATAAGTTGGCTGACAAAGCTTCCGCCACCAGATCCACTCAGGAATGACTGAAATCGCGAGCCAATCAGAGTCAACATAGTGAGCGAGACTCGCGCTTCTGGTTCGGGAGGCGCTCGGGAGGGGCACGGCAGAAACTCCGATATATAAATCCCCTGTTTAACATACCGTAAGTTTATACAAAAAAAAGTGATGCGCCTATAGGAAATACATTTTCAAAAATGTGGGTGCGCTTATAATGAAATAACGGATATAAGCGCACTTGCACTCCATAAGCGCAATGGGCCAAATAAAGGGATGCGCCTATATCCGGGGGATTACGGTGTTAGAAGGCTAGCTTAGCTAGGAAGCTAAGAAAGGCATGAGGTTTAGCTAGGAGGAGCCATAGAGTGGCGTGAGGTTTAGGAAGGAGAAAAGTTGAGGAGAGAAAAGAGGGTTGGAATAGAAAGCGAGAGGCATACAAGGAGGGGATTGTACCCTCTACAGCTAAGTTCGGTAACCTACCAAGCCTAACAATTATATAACTCAATATATAATTTAACACACCCCCTAGGCTTGGTATTCACAAGCCCACACACACCCCCACACCCCCCTAACCTAGCACCCCCATTCCAGCCACAATGACAGTGACACTAGCTCGGTCGACCCCTCGGCACATGAGGCGGCGACGTCGACCGTAGGGGCTGCGGCGGCGACGGCGGCGGCAGTGTCGACAGCGGCGGCGGCGGCGGCGTGCGGCTGCGTGGCCCCGACGCAAGCGGCGACAGCGGCGACGGCGGCAGCGCCCGCACCTCTCGGTGACGTGGCCAGGCCTCGCGACGGTGGGACGGCCGGCGGGAGTCAGCCGTTGTCTGCGGAAAGGAAGAGGACACAGGGGAAGGAGGGGGGGGGGGAGGGGCGCCACAGGCTGGCATGCGGGCGGCCGGTCTAGCGGCGCCACAGGCGTCGCGCGGCCGGCTGCAGCCCGACGACGCCGTCACAGAGCGGCGTCGACGCCGCAGCGGGACGTCGACGCTGCGACGGCAGCACGACGGCCCGACACCACGGCAGCGCGTCGAGACGGTCGCAGCACGACGCGGCCAGCGGCATCACGACGCCGCCACTGCAGCAAAACGCGGCCGCCATGGCCGCGCGAGCGAACGAGGGTGAGGAGTACGCGGCGGAAGCATGAGGAGGCGGTCCAGCAGGGAGGACCTCCTGCTCTGATAGCATGTTAGAAGGCTAGCTTAGCTAGGAAGCTAGGAAAGGCATGAGGTTTAGGTAGGAGGAGCCATGGAGTGGCATGAGGTTTAGGAAGGAGAAAAGTTGAGGAGAGAGGGTTGGAATAGAAAGAGAGAGGCATACAAGGAGGGGATTGTACCCTCTACAGTAAAGTTCGGTAACCTACCAAGCCTAACAATTATATTACTCAATATATAATTTAACATACGATACTAGTTGTTATGAATTATAACTCAGAGTACAGCGTAGAATACTATAGGGGAACGTGATTGCGGAATTCTACATAATGTTGATAGAAATGAGGCCTAGGCAATATATAGGGCAATTGACCGGGGTTGAATATCGAGGGTTGGACCAGTCAAGGGCTCGATAGTCCCGAGGGTGACGGGGTCAAAATGGGTTCGGGGCGACTCGGGATGAGGTTGGGTCCGACGAGGTCGACGGGGGCTGGTTTGGCGCGAGAACCAAGGGCCGAGCCTGCGGACCCGAGAGGTTCGCGTGTACTCGCTGTGGCGAGCCCCAGTAAGGAATCAGAATTCCTCACAGGGGAGGGGGATGCTGATCAGCGTACCCTAAAACGAATCTTATGCCCTGTTCATGGCCGTACATATTGAAATAAACACATGCGGTTGTCATAAAAGCGAAAATATTAACATTTCCCCAAAACTCTTCTGCCAATGGGCAGATGTGTGTGCAAGGCCAAATGGTCCAGTGTGCCATGTATTCAGAGCAACTGGGAGAAGACTTCGGAGCATTTGGATGAGGTCTTCACTGCAGGTGGGTGAAGCATTCATTGCAGGTGGGTGAAGTGGAACTCCACCTGTAGGCGGCGGAGAATGGCTTCAGGCGAGGCCAGCAGCCCCTTGCTCGCCTCGCTCTCCACCTCCGCCAGGGGCACAGCGGCCAGGAACGCCTTGAGGTACTCCCGGCACGCCTCTGCTCCCCACACCCTGCGCGCTGTTGCCAGTGTTGCTGCCTCACCCTCCCCGGCACAGGGAGGGGAGGGAGATGTGGGAGGAGAGGCAGAGGTGGAGGCAGTGGTGGTGGTGGAGGAGGGAGAAGAGCCAGCAGTGCACAGCGAAGTATGGGTGGGCTGCCTATTGCTCGCCCACCCATCAAGAATTGTGGTGCTGGCACACGTCTCGCCTCTGGGTGTCTGTGATGGACTGTTGCAGCGTGGCGGCGGGCATGCTGACTCAGCTGCATGCAGTGCTGTAAGTGGCGTTGATTCAGCTGCAGTGGATGCTGACTCTTTGTTAAATGGCAGGGGGCAGTTGTCTGTCAACTGACTAATTACGTGTTGCGGAACGGTAGTGGAGGCACCAGGAGAGCAGTCACTATTGGCAGGGAGTGATTCGGTGCCTTGTCTCGGCTGACTTCCTGTTGCCATGGCCTCTGTAACCACTGCCACATGCACTCCATGTGCTGCTGCCCCTTCGTCTCCCCTTCTGCCCACCCCCTCTGCCGCACCTGCTGCACCACTCCCACCACACTCCACAACACGCCGCTCTCCCTCTGCTCCACAGTCCACCTCACTGCCCCTTTTTGCCTTCCCACTGCTCTTGCTTACCTTCATCCCCCATCGCCTCCCTGCCTCTGACTTGCCACCCTTAACCCCCGTGCCACCTGCCCTATCCTCGGCCTTGACTGCCTGCTCTGCCTCGCCTGCCTTGTCCGCCTTGTCTGCCTTATCTACCTTGTCCGCCTTGCTGCCATGCTTGCTGCCAGCACCGTCTGCACGCAGCCCTCTTTCCTGCTCATCACCACCCTTGCCTTGAGCAGTCTCTTCTCCTCCTGTACTCCCTGCTGCTGCGCCTTCCCCTGCTGTGCCCTCCTGTGCTGCTAGCCCCGGCTGTGCGCGGCCCACGTCCACCCAGGTGGAGGCGTCGAAGCGCAGCATGAAGGCCTGCGAGCACCCCTCGTGCAGCCGCTCCCCCAGCGTGTCGATCACCACGCACTCCACCTCCTCCCCGCCCACCACCTCGCCCTCCATGCCCAAACTGCTTCTGCTGCCCTCCCCTGTACCGCCCTTGCCTCTGCTTTCCCCGTGCTTCTCCCCCACATGTACATTTGTTGCTACCTGCTCTGCACCACCCCCCCCCTGCTGCCGCTGCTGCGGGTGGGGGTGGCGCAGGAGCAGCAGGAAGAAGTGGTCGTTCCACGCCACAATGTACACCCCCTCGCCGGCGCGCACCACGGCGTCCCAGATGTCATCGAACGACAGCAGGCCCTCCAGGAGACTCAGCTGCTGCAGAGCCTTCCCCTGTGAACTCTCTGTCGGCTCCACACTGCCAGCAACCTGCTCTGTTGTTCCCCCCAACATCCCCTTGCCGTCTTTTCCTTTCCCTCCTGGGCCGTGCGTCCTGCACTTGCACTCCTCCGCTACTTCCCCATCCTTTTCCCCACCCGTCTCCTCAGTGCCCGCATCGTTCCCCTCCACCGTCCGCCTTCCTGCTCCTTCCCTGCACACATCCGCTGCATCAGCCTCTGCCCCTCCGCCGCTCTCCCTTTCAGCCTCCTCCTCCTGCTTGGCCCGCCTCGCTGCCAGGCTGGGCGGGTGGAAGAAGCCGACGAACGACCGGCTCGGCACCACACGCAGTGGCAGACGCTGCACAGGTGCGGTCACAGCAGCGCTGCTGCTGCTGCTGCTGCTGCTTGCACCATGCGTGCCATCAAGCCCCTTGCTTTCTCCACTAACCGTGTCCTGTCCACTGCCCTTGGCCTCTGCACTCACTGTCTCCCCCCCACAAGCTGCCTCGTCATCTGCCGGCACGCCCCCCTCGGTGTGCTGCACGGCGTCCAGCACGGTCTCGAGGTCGAAGTGCCCGTCGGGGAAGCGCTGGTGGAAGTCCCTGAGCCCCCTGAGGCGCCGCCAGTCCGCGGACCCGGCGCGGATGAGCTCGTCCAGCTCCGCCTGCCCCGGCAGCACCCCCACCCCGTGCGCGTGCACCCACGCCGCTATGTGCGCCACCAGCAGCGCGCACGCGCCCTCGCCCGCAGCGCTCGCGTGGCACTGGTCCACGGACGCCAGGAACACCTCCGCGCACAGCCGTGCGCCGCCGTCGCGACTGTCCACCTGGCGGCGCTCCCAGTGGCCCACGCGGAACTCGTCCCCAAACAGCTCCCGCACACTCGACGCCGAAGGAGACACCGGCTCCTCCTGCGACTCACTCGCTGCCTTCTGTTCCTCTGAAGGCTGCTTATAAAGGGGATGCTCCTGCTCCGCCTCGAGAGCCTTGCGCCTGTCCCAGTCGATCTCGTCCCCCCCCTCCTCCCCGTACGCCTTGTGCAGCAGCGGCTCGCCCCGCTCCTGCAGGGACAGTGTGCGGAAGAAGAGCAGCGGCCGCCGCAGGAACGCTCCCACGCCTGCATTGCCTGGGCCCACGCCCGAGGTGGCGGGGAGGGGCTTGGCCGGCAGGAAGGGAGGCAGAAGGAAGGACTTGGGCGCAGGAGGGGCGTCGGCAGGGAGGGGGTCCAATGGGGAGACGGGTGACGAGGAGTCCTTGGTGCCCGCGGGCGCGGGAGGAGGCTGAACGCTTTGGCTGGAGCCAGGGCAAGCGGTAGCAGGTGCGGGGTCGGGTGTTGCTTCTGGTGCTTCCATTGAGAGCTCTGGTGCTGGCAGCTCTGCTGCAGCTGCTGGTAGCGACGCAGGTTCGGCAGTGGCAGCAGGTGCAGGGGATGGTCGGGGGGTTGAGGTGAAGAAGAGGAAGGGAGAGCCGAAGCTGAAGAGGCGAGCTGCTGAGGGGGACTTGAGTGGAGGCAGCACTTGCTGCTCCTCCACTGCGCCACTCCTCGCACCCTCGCCACCTGCTGCTGCCTCGCCATCACCCGCCTCTCTGCCTCTCTCCATCCCTGACCCCTCCCCTCCCTGCGCTGACTCAGCTGCCTGCACGCTGCTCTGGTCGGCAGGCAGTGGCCAGCTGTCAGCGAGCGATGGCAGCGCGTGGGGCAGCAGGTGCAGCATGCGCATGCGTGTGTGCACGTGGCCGCCCAGGTTCACCTCTGCCAGGGGCCCGTAGCACAACGCCTCAGCTGCAATCATCTCCTCCTCCCCTTCCTCACACTCCTCCTCCGCCTCTCCCTCCACCCTTCTCGACTCCCTCCCTGCCGTCTCCCACAATCCCATATCCTGCGCCCTTGCGTCCTCACCTCTGCGGCCAGGCTCAGCTGCAGGCCATTCACCTGCTATCGTGCCATTCCCTTCAGCTGAAAAGTCTTTCTCGCCCTCCTTGCTCCCCTCCCCCTGCCCTTCCTCCCCCCCCTCCCCTCGCCCCAGCAGCTGCTTCCTGCTTGGCCTGCCCTGCGCGCGCCCTGCCCCGTCCACAGACACTGACCTCCGCCACACCCCTCCCCGCAGCACATCCAGCAACCCCACGCCCGCGCCCGCGCCCACGCCCGTGCCCCCGCTGCCAGACACCGTCGTGCTGTCTGCCACGGAATCGCCCCCTCCCATCAGCGACGCCATGGCAGAGATATTCGGTTCCCCCTGCTCCATTGCACTGCCCATGTGTCCCGGGGCGCTCCCTCTAAGCTCCACCTCCTGCTGCCCTCCATGGCCATCACGCGCCCTGCCTTCCATCCCGCCCATGTGCCGCCGCTCCATGCTGCTCCCCTGCCATCCCGCCCACCCCTGCACGCCATACCCATTCTCCACATTCTCCCCCTCCTCGTCGCCCCCCCCTCCCTCCACCTGCTCCCAATCCAAAGCACTCTCCCCCCCGTCCATGCAATCTGCCCCCTCGCCCTGCCCACCGCCATTGCTGTGCTCCGCATCACCACTGTCCGCTGCACTGTGCCCGTCGCCCTCCCCAGCCGTGCCTGCCACGTCCATGGGCACGGCGGCGCTCTTGCTCTCCCGGCTCCTGCGCTGCCACCCCCACAGCCCCAGGTGCAGCCCGCCACCCCCACCCTCTCTGCTTCCCACTGCCACCACTGGTGGGCCGCCCACAGATGGCAGCGCTGCCTCTGCCGCAGGCGCTGACGCCGAGGGCGGTGCTGCCAGTGGAGCAGCTGCTGCGGATGGTGGGATGGGCGCTGCCTGTGGCAGCTCAGTGCACTCCACTGTCACCTGCCCCGACAGAGAGAAAACGCCGGACGACACAAGCTACTCAGTGCGCTGATGAGCTCGCACATGGGATTTATAGCCACAAGCACACACAGCAGCAGCGAAAATGGCAATGCTAGTGCAGACCGTTGACGCGAAATGTATGAGGAAATGACGGAGCAAGGCGCTGCGCACTGAGCAGAGTAACACAGAGAGGGAGAGGCCGCGGCTCAACCTGCAGCAGGCCGACGGGAGGCGAGTCGGTGGGGGCGAAGAGCACGAGGAGGTGGTGGGTGAGGGGCCGGCCGTGGAGGGGCGCGGCCAGCGGCGCCAGGTCCAGCACCACCGACGCCACCTGCTGGGGGCGGTCCCTGGGCCGGCTGGAGTCGTGCTGCAGGCAGGGCAGCCCACAAAGACACGCATGCACATTGGTAATTTGAAGCTTTCAGTAGCAGTGGGTGTGAGCCAAGTCCCAGTGGAGGTGAGGCTGGCACCTAGGAGCAGCGCACTTTGACTGTGTGGAGCAGGTCTCACCTTGTGCACGAGCAGCATGACCTCCCACGGCTGGAAGAGGCAGCCCTTGCTGCACGGCTCCCCCTGACCTCTGCTGGCGCGCAGGGCGGCGGGGCAGGGCAGCAGGTGGCAGTCGTGCGCGAAGCCCTCCTCCCACCGCACCATGCCGTACGGCCCGCGCGGGGGCTGCGCGCTGCTGCACCCGCGCTTCACGGCGCGTCCGAACATGGACCCCATCAGCCCCGCGCGCACGCCCTTCCACCGCACCTCCACCGCCAGCAGCGTGCCTGCCCCCCCCTCCGCGACCCCCTCACCCTCCCCCGCCACTGACTCCGGCTCAGCTGCAGCAGCAGGCACACCGCCGGCAAGACCCGAACTGTGTGCATCAGCGGCAGGCGCTCCTCCCAATGTGTCAAGGGACGCTGCCTCCGACACCAGCGCTGCCACTGCTGCTGATGCGGCTGCTTCGGGCGCCGCTGCTGCAGCTGGCGCGGTCTGTTGAGTCGCTGATTGCACCGCCCTGTCAGCAGCTCCATCAGGGGCGTCTGTAGCGGCAGGCGGATCACAAGGCAGCAGCATGGACAGAGCGGAGTAAGCAACTCTCTGGCCGCTCCACTGGCGGCAATTCGGTGCGGAATTCGGCCCAAGGGACTCATCTCGAAGCGTGGCGTCGCGGCACACTGACTCTCCGTCGCCATGGCTGGCGGGGGTTTCGCTCAATGGGATTCCGCCTAGCCCTGGAATTCGCTCAGTGGAGGAACCCTCCGCGCGCTCATCTGCGCGCTCGGATCTCCCGCCAGCATCGAGCTGCGCCGACTCCGTCAGGGCGGCAAGGCCCGAGAGCACAGGTGGCGGGAGGGCGGCGGGGGATGCGAAGCCGAAGGCGTGGTTCACGGTGAGCGAGATGGCCACGGAGCGAGGGCCCAATGCGACAGGCAGGCCTTGCTGCTGCTGCTGCTGCTGCTGGGCTTGCTGGCCGTCCGGCGTGTCCGAGTCCATGAGCACGTCGGCCGGACTTTGCCCCCCCTCCTGTGGCGGGGGAAGGTCGTCCCTCTCGCCGTCCTCGAGCTCGAGCCCGCGCACCCACGGGTGCAGCTGCGGCAGAGACGCGGAGCGGTGGCTCAGCAGCACCATTGCCGGTGAACTGAGGGACACGCGGATTGGCGACAATGAGGACGTATACGAAAGCCGAGCAACCACTACAAATACCTCACGACAATCTACGACGTCTTAGCACGATCTGCCACGATGCTCAACATTGCCGACGTCGCTCCCCTATCGAGTTCTCGAATTTTATGTCGAGTAAGTCTCGTTACATGGCGGCAGAGTCGGCGAGACGCACGGCTGAAGCCCGCTCTGTCGGCCATCAATCCGCCAATCAGCCAAGGCTCATCTGCTACGGCCACCTCACGAGCACATGTGCGTGCTGGATTCCTCCTCTGCATTGCGTCTTTGTTCACTGGAAGGAGCTGGGCTGGCGTGGGTGGGTGGATCGGTTGGTTGGTTGGTTGTCCCCTCCCCAGGCTGCCAGCCAGGGGGAGGGGACTGACATTGTGTGAATCGTGATGCGTGATTCGTGGTGCGAACGATCTGCGACTTCACCGAACCTCGCAACATAGATTGAATGCGACTGCCTGCGAGCCGATCTTCCCAAGGTGTAGCGAAAATTCAGGACGCGCTCCCCCTCTTCCCAAGGCCCTCCCGCTCGCCAGATCCATTGGTTGAATCTCGTTTGAACCGCTATGTAGACTCAGCAAAGGACACCCAACCTAACCATACTTCACCGGTTCGATTCTCGAGTGGCTCGATTGAGGCCTGATGGTTATTAGGATATGGTGCTCAGAATGTAGACTGCACACACTCTTTACTTCAGTGTTCGTGTTACATACCTACTAAAACAAACTATTAGTTGAGTGAATGCAAGGGTTGTGCTCAGTTGCCGAAGAGGAGCAGAGCGCTACAATACCTTCAGACTCTGCACCTGGACCTGGACAGCATGCAATCAGGCACCATAACTGCCCCCCATCACCCTAAACCCTAATGGGGCCATATTGCCATTATGGTGTGGTGCGAACACCCCAAAACGCTGCATCCATATTTGCAAAGCAAGTGTTGGTCATGGTGCAAGGTGCAGACTGCAGCTTGTACCACTCCCGTGACTCCTTTCCTCCTGTCCTGTACCCATCCACACACCATGATGTCATCCAAAGTACACTGGCATGTCTTGTCACCAAACACCAGTAGGTCAGAACGCGCTAAGTATATGGAGTCAAATCATCAACCAAGCGCCAGTGCTATCCCCACAGGGCTCTCTCATCAGCATGCTGCACCATCACCGCATGACCGTGTCAACTTCCGTGTGCACATGCCGCCCTGCAATCAGCTGTTGGGCCGCCACGCTGACATGGCAAGCAGTGGTTGGTCCTTCCAGTTGAGCGTAAGGCTGTTGGGCTGCTCTGACGCCAGGGAGTATGGGCCCTTGTACCTGCAGTGTGTGTTGGTGGGGGGTGGGGATGGGGGGGGGGGGGGTTTGGGGGAGGGGGGGTGGGATAGGAATCTGATGGGAGACAAGAAGGGGGTGTCACACGGTCAACAGTGTGCGTCGGCCAGGCCCACTGGTCTGTGCAAGGGGGAGAGGGCCGGCGGACTCACGTGGAGAGCAGGGCGCCAGCGGTGGCCACCACCTCGCGGCTGAGCGGGTAGCCCACGAACCCCGCGCGGTGCACGCGGCGCTCCCACTGCCCCAGCGGCTCCTGGCGCTCCGTGCGGTCCTGCCCCTCGCACGCCACCACGTTCACGATGGCGCGCCCCAGCACGCGCTGCTCAAACAGCCGCCGCTCCTGCGAGTCGGCGGGCACGGAGGCGTCGAGGGCGTCGAAGATGGAGGCGTAGTAGTGCAGCGCCTCGAGGAAGCGGCTGAGGAAGAAGGGCGAGTTGTGGTTGGTGTTCTGCTCCACCAGCGTCGTGATGGCCGGCGCCAGCGCGCGCATGGTGCGCAGCACGGCGGCGCGCGGGTTGGAGGGCGTGACGGACTCGTCCATGAGGTTGTGCAGGCGCAGCGCGCAGTTCACCACCAGCACCTCGTCCGCCTCACACCGCACCATGGACGGCTGCAGGTCCGGCAGGCTGATGGGGATGAAGTTGAACGTGAACGGCACACCCCAGCTCGCCGCCACGCTCTGCGCCGCCAGGGAGGAGGGAGAGGGGGAGGGGTTTGAGGCAAACGAGGCCGAGAACGAGTGATGGAGGAAGGAGGAAATAAAAGGGAAGGGCGAGAATGAGGTGAGGGACGTGAGAGAGAGAGGGGGAAGGGGAAAGGGGAGAATTCAGTGTGCCACGGACCCTGAGTCGCTGCCCGGCCTGTCGCAGGCAGTAGCCCTTGTGGATGCCGGCCACGAACGGCCGGTCGATGCCGGTGATGCGCAGGTGGGGCGGGCCCCCCGGCAGCACGGCGAGGGCCTGGATGAGCGGCGGCCACTGCACGGCGTGGCCCAGGCCGAAGTCCACGATGTGCACCTTGCGCGCGCCCTGGATCGCCTCCAGGATCGCGCTGTTGCACGCCACGTGCCCGAACGTCAGGTAGGGGGACGCACTCACCAGCACCTGATGGGGCATGGGGCGGGGAGGAGAGCTGATTGTGTGTGAAGGTTTACACACGACTGTACCCAGCCTTTCTCCGTATAGCAACACACCCCCCCCCACACCCACATCAGACACCCTTTTGCGCACCTCGAACGCGCGCAGCAGCGGCGCGTCGCAGTCGATGGAGCGGTAGATGCCCAGCGCGCCCGCTGCCCCCGCGCCGTCGCTGCCAGGGCAGCCGGGGCCCGTGGGCGCCGTGCCTGATGCGCGCGCCAGCAGCCCCTCAAGGAAGTAGGCGGACACCCGCTGCGTGGCGTCGCCGTACACCGACGCCACGGCCGTCAGCTGCTCCACCAGCACGTGCACCTGAGAGCATGGCAGAGGGAGGGGGCAGGGCGGAGGGACGGGCGTTGGGGGGGGATGCGATGCCACGCCAGTGCTGCGCACGTGCAATTGGGACAACCCAGCAGCACGCTTACACTTGTGACTACCACTCGAGTCTCACACCACCCTCTCCCTCCTAGACCTTTTCTCTCACTGAAACGCACTCTTCCCTCCTCTCCCTCCCATCCTCCCCCTCTCTCACCTCCCTCCCCCCTCTCACCCCCCCCTTCACCCCCACCCTCTCGCTCTCCCCCTCTCACTCCCCCCTCTCACCCCCCCTCTCTCACTCTCCCCCTCTCATCCCCCCCTCCCATCCCCTCACCCCCCCCTACTCACCCTCCCCCTCTCCCCCTCTCCCCCCTCACCAGGTGGTGGTCGCCGGACACGATGGCCTTGGCGATGTCGAGCAGCATCTGGATCACGCCCGACCGCCCCGTGCCGCCACTGCCAACCCCCCCTGCCCGCTCGCCCCCCTGCGCCGCCCGTCCCTGCATGCCCTGCGCCTGCATCGCCTGATGCATCGCTTGCTGCATCTGCTGCTGCGCGTGCTGCTGCCCGTGCTGCGCGTGCTGCCAGCCCTCCTGGGACCCACTCGGGCTGCTCAGCCCCGCCCGTTGCATCCGCGCCGTCACCTCCTCTGCCCGCCCCTGGCTCTCCCCCGAGTTCGCACTCCCTGTGCGTTGGAACCCGCCGCCCTGCTGCCCCGCGCCCTGCCCGTCATCCCTTCCACTATTGGCGGGGGCCACGCCGTGATTGGCGGCGACCATTCGGTCGACGGGCATCCCCAGCAGGTCCTCTTCGCCCACGCCCACGCCCATGCCCGCGTCCCCTGCAGCGTCGCCGTTGAGGGCGGCGGGCGGCGTGGCGAGGAAGGCGGGGTTGAGGTCGTGCGGCAGCAGCGACTCCATCTCGTCGAACGCGAACGTCAGCTCGTCTAGCCCGCGGAAGAAGTCCGCCTCCACGTACTCCGCGCCCAGCTGCACCGGCTCCACCTGCTGCACGCGCGCCAACCACTCCGCCGCGCTCAGATCGCGCAGCTGCTCCGCCACCGAGTTCGGCCCGTGCCGCGGCCACACCCCGCCCTGCCCCGGCACGAAGGGGCACGGCGCGGGGGAGCCGCCGGGGCTAGGCTGGCCGGCGGACGTGGAAGGGGAGGGGGAGAGCTGCTGGCAGGGCTGACCCGCGGAGTTTAGGGGGACGGCCGCCGCGTGCGGCTGCTGACGCGGCGTGATGCCATTGGAGTGAGAGGAGGAGGAGCTGGCGGACGGGCCGGGCGAGGCTGTGCGGGCGCCTTGCGACGAGGCGCCCGAGGTGGCGGGCGGAAGGGAGCAGGGGAAGGAGGGCGGCTGTGGCGGAGGTCGCGGCTCGCGGGCCGGTTGGCCGGGGTCGGAGGGCGGGACGAGCGGGTCCTGCGTGTTGCCCCACAGCTGCTGCAGCGTCGCCGTGAGGTCGCGCGCCGTGCGCTGAGGCGGCGGCAGCGACGGCGGCTGCTGGCCCTGACCGCCGTGCGAGTGGCCGCCGTGGGCGTGCGTGTGCGCGCTGCACGGGTGATCTGAAAGAGGGGGGCGCCGGGGGGCGAGCAAGGGATGCGCGGAAAGTTATCACGAAGCCCTTACCGCAGTCGTACCAACCCTTGAAAATTGAATCCGGGCACGAATTCACTGTTGGGAGCAGCAAACGGCGGCACAGAAGACCGTAGTGCGAGAGGACGGCGCGCGGGACGCGAGTGAGTGGCAGACAGACCTTGCACGATGCGGCACGTCTTGAGCTGCACGTGCATCCACGCGCGCTGCAGCCGCTGCTCCAAATCCGACGGCACGCCTTCCCTCTCGCCGGACATGGCGCGTGCTCCTAACGCAGGCAAGTAATATTGTCGACAAACAGAATTCTAGGATATGCTGAGGACCGCTAGACTACCCAAAGAAGCCCTAGGAGCGAGTATCTTCCAGACTGAACTGAACTGAACTGAACTGAACTATCAGCTCTTGGGTTTCCTGACGGCGTCTATTCGTACACCTCGCAAGTTTCCAGAACCACCTTTCTTGGGGTTGTCGTATCGTACGACTCGTGCCTGCTGTTCCTGACGATCAGGTGTAGGACAGGTCCAAATAGTTCATACTACATTCATTTGGTTAAAGGTAACCCGAATTTAACCTCGCGCTGCTTTCGCGAGGACATGTGCGAAAATTCTCTGTAACTCAGGACGCTCGACGCATGTGAAGGTACCCCAGGGTAGATCCGTTTACGTTTGGGGTAAGCATATGGGGGGCGGATGGACACGTGTGCCACTTGGAGTTTCGCCAAGGCGGGCTTGACGAGAATTAAGCGAATTAGCGAGAACTTCGCGTGGCGCAACGCCAAATCGGAAATACCAACCAGCCCAGCACGAAAATCTGTTTCGCGGCTCAGTATTTGGTAACTGCGATTTGGGGCGTCTGCGGCGAACCGTTTTTTTGCGATGCACCCAGTTGGCGCCAGTTTCTATTTTCGTTCACAATATGGAACGCGGTTTCGGGATCGTTTTCAGTTTTTGTACCTGAGTTACGTGTTTAGAACCCACAATAAAACCATCTGGTTGCCCTCACTGTACAGCGAAATTATATGCAGTAAATGGTAACTGTATCAGAAAATATATAGGGAAAATAAATCGGCGCTCAGTATTAGGGGCCTCGATAACATGTACGGCCAGTGACACAATATAAACCATCAGAATTAGCGAGTTCGCAACATGTTTCATCAGTCAGGCTCCACCGTTAGTCACAAACTACAAGAAAAAAGCTCCACGAATGGTCAGTATAAGTAACCCTCGACCGTTTCGGAACGTTTTCCCGCCCGCGCCAGCCCAATTTCGTCATCATTGTGGCTGGCGTGATATTTTTCTCAAGCTCCAGGCGTAGTTCGAGAGAACTACGTAAAGTATTCCCAAATTAAAAATCGTTGGACGTCGCACACACAAAATTCCAAAATTGATACCTTACGCATTTCTGTCATAAGCTCATTGGGCCACAGCAGGCCGCACATCAGGTGCGACATTGTTCAAAGATAAACAAACACAACCAAAAAAAAAAACAAAAAAAAACATTTGATACGAAAGGGAAAATCTATCCGGGATGGGCGCTAAGCCAATGAGGTGTGAAAATTAAAATGTAGTGCGTGTGCGCTAATTTGTTTCGAGTATGACAAGCCTGGCCCTGCCGCGCCTGCCTGGCCCCGCCGCGCCTGCCTGGACCCGCCGCGCCTGCCTCGCCCCACCGCGCCTGCCTGGCCCCGCCGCGCCTGCCTGGCCCCTCCGCGCCTGCCTGGCCCCGCCGCGTCTGCCTGGCCTCTCCCACTGCCCGCCCGGCCCATCTTCGTGCCTACTCGTCCTGCCGTGCCACCTCGGGCTCCGTCTACTCTGCTCGCCAGTGCTGGGGAGCCTCGCGGCCGCCGTGCTGGAGAGTGCTGCTGCCGTGTCCCTGCGTCGCTGTGTTCCTGTGGAACTGTGCCGCTGACCCTGCACGATGGCTGACTTCGTGCTCCGACTGGACGCCGAGGGCCATGCGGTTGACTTCGCCGCCTGGCTCTCCGATCTCCGCCGCCACCTTACAGGTCAGCGCCAGGATGGCCACTCTTTGGTTGTCCATGTCGATGGCTTGCTCCCCCGCCCCCCTGCCCCTGCTCCCCTCCCTGCTGATCCCTCCTCTGATAAACGTGAGGCCTTCTCTACTGCTGCGCTTGCCTGTGCGGTCTGGGACTCCCGCGATGTAGTAGCTCAGGATGCTATTAGTCACGCCCTCCCTATGTCTGAGCGCTCGCGTTTTGCTACTGTTGAGACGGCCAAAGCTTACTTAGACGCCGTTATTGCTCCCTATTCCACACCCGCATCTGCTTCTGCTGGCCGCTTGCTCTTCCCGATGCTGTTCCCAGACCTTGCAGCCTTCCCTACCGTCGCAGACTTTGCCACTCACCTGCGTGCCCTGGAGACCCGCTATCGCACTGCCAGCACTGCTGCCCAGCTCACTGCGCTCCCCCCCCCTTTTCTGCATGACGCTCTATTTTATCGCCATGCGCCTGCCAGACCGCCTCGCTAGTGCTCGCGATCACTTCCTTAGCCAGCACCCGGGTGACCTCTCACCGCCTTTGTCGACACCCTCACCGAGATCGAGACTCGTCAGCGCACTATCGCTCAGTCGAGCGGTGCGCCGGCGGTCTCTATCTTTCACGGCTGTGCCCCCTCCCAGTGCACGTTCACTGACGTTTCGGCTGCGGTCGCCACGGCGACCCCTCTCACCGAGACGGCTGCTGCGGTCCACCCGCAGCAGCGCTCGCGCCGCAGTGGCCGTGGTCGCCAGGGAGGTAGGGGTGGTGGCGCAGGTGGTGGTGGTGGTGACGGTAGTCCACCTGCGGGGACTACCACTGGTGGGCAGGAGCAGCAGCCCCAGCCGCAGCAGGAGCAGCCCCAGCCGTAGCCGCCGCCCCAGCAGCAGCCGCCGTCCCAGCAACAGTCGCCGCAGCCGTGGGCCCGTCTTCCGCCTGGCTGGCCCGGCACCTCCGGAGGTAGTGGCCGTGGTGGCGGCCCGCACATCTTGGCGTCTACCGGCGGTTCCGGTGCTGTCACCTGCCAGTACCAGCTTCAGACCGGGCCTCTTCGCGGCACTCTGTGCCGCTGCCCGCACCCGACCGCCCGCTGTTTCCTCCGCCTCGACGATCTCTTTCGTCGTCGCTTTGGCCTGGCCCCGGACCTCCCCGACTGGCACAGCCTGCTCCGCCAAGGCGTGCCGATCTTTGAGTTAGACATGGATCAGATAGGTGTTGCTTTGCATGCTTTGTATTCTGACGCTTCTAGTGTTGCTGGATCTTATTACCCTGTGTACTCTAGTTTAGGTGTTGCACCATTGTGTAGCTTAGCCTCCCCTGCTGCGTCAGGCGTAGGACTGCCTAGTTTGCCTAGTCTAGTCGCTGCACCGGCTCCGTCCGCGGACCGCGCGGTGAGCGCTACTTCCTTGTGCTCGTCGACGACTACACGCGCTACACCACGGTGTTTCCCCTGGAGCAGAAGGCCGACGTGCCCGACGTTCTTCTCCCGTGGGTTGTGGCTGCGCGTCTCCACCGCGGTCTCCCCGTGTTGTGTCTCCACTCTGACCGTGGCGGCGAGTTCGCCTCTGGTCGGCTTTGACAGTTCTGTCGTGCGGAGGGCATCACCCAGTCGTACACCTTGCCGGACTCCCCACAGCAGAATGGGGTTGCTGAGCGCCGCATCGGCTTGGTCATGGAGGTCGCCCGTACCTCCATGATTCATGCCGGTGCCCCCCATTTTCTGTGGCCGTTCGCTGTTCGCTACGCTGCTCACCAGCTTAACTTGTGGCCACGCTCCCAGCGGCCGCAGGTTTCGCCGACCCTTCTTTGGACCGGGTCCCCCAGTGACGCGTCTGCGTTCCACGTCTGGGGCTGCCTTGCTCACGTTCGTGCCTCTGGCACGGACAAGCTCACTGCCCGCACTGTCCCCTGTGTCTTCCTCGGTTTTCCCCTGGACTTGTCTGACTGGCTTTTCTACCACCCGCCGTCTCACCGCTTCCTCCACTCGCGTGACGTCACCTTTGACGAGTCTGTCTCCTTCTACCGCCGCTTCCCTCACCGAGGTCTCCCGGTTGCCCTGCCCCTGTTCCTGGCTCCCTCTCCCCCGGTATTCCTGCTCCTCTCCCGCCTCGTCCTACCCCGTCTGGTGTCTCTCACGTTACTCCCCTCCCATCGGTTGTCCCCGTTGAGGAGTCTGCTGACTCTGGTGGTCCCCCCGGCCCGTCCTTGCCGCGTCCCCCTTCCCCGGTGTCTCCGCCTTCCCTGTCGCAGTCGCAATCACCGCCACCGCCGCAGCCGCCGTCCACACCGCCGCCGCTGACGCCATTGGCCTCTGGGGGTGCTGGCGTTGAGGAGGGTGTTCGTCCTGCGGCTCCCGGGGGTGCCGCTGGAGTTGGAGGGGGTTCTTGCTCTGGGGGTGTTGGTTCTGGGGGTGCTGCTGTTGAGGGTTCCGCCGACGGTCGTCCTGCCTCTGCCGGTCCGAGGGTTCCTTCCCAGCTGTCCCAGCAGCCGCAGCAGCCGTCGCCGCCGGTCTTCGCTCTCCGCCTGCTCGGCCTTCCCTCCCCGGACCGCGCGCCGGTGTCTCCCCCACTGCATGCTGACCTTCCTGTCTACGGTCCTGTGTTCCCGCCGCCGGACTCGTCTCCGGCCCGTCTTCCTCCTCATTCCCCTCCTGTGTCCCCTCCGCTTTCCCCTGACCCTACACCCCCGTCTCACGTTTGGGCTCGCCGTCCCTCCCGTGCTCGTCCCGTCTCTCCTGTCCTGCCCACCCACCCTATGTTGCTCCGTTCTCGCTCGTCTCGTCCTCCTCTCCTCCCGTCCCCTCCTCCCTCGTCCCTTGCTGTTGCACCTCCTCCGTTCTCTGACTACCTCCGTGCCGCTCGTCCCCTTGTCCCTCGGGTCCTTGCCTCTCTTGTTACCGACCCTGCTGTTCCTGTCTCGCGCCTTGACGCGCTTGTCGCTGCTGTCGCTGACTTGGCTGTGTCAGGAGCCTCGGCTTGAGGGCAGAGCGAAGCATATCCAGCTGCGGTACTTCCTCCTGCGCGAGCTACAGCAGCGCCGCCAGGCCCGCGTAGTTCACTTGGCCTCAGGTGCCAACACAGCTGATATCTTTACTAAGGCGCTTGCGCCTAAAGATCATCAGCGGCACTGTGTACAGCTTGGTCTTGTTCCTGTAGCTACTCATCTGTTAGGATCCTGATTGTGTACTCTCTATTATATATGCCTGTCAGACTGGCCTTGTGGCCTTACCTCCAGTGGCTGGACTAGTAGTGCCGCCCTGGCTTGCTTTAGTTTTGTTTGTATTCTTGCTGACTGGTCTCCAGACCCCCGCCTCAGTGGTTGGACTAGTATTGCCACCCTGAGCTGTTTGCTTCTTGTTTAGCTTCACCCCTTGTCTAGCCTAGGGGGTGTGTCAACTTATACATATTAGCTATGTAGAAGTTATAGGCTAGACTGAGGTATGCTTCTAGTGAGTACAACCAACTAGTATTTGTTCTAGGTTTCCACTTCTAGTGAATCATTCAGTTCTTACTTTAACACATGGAGCCTTTTTCCTGTAGTTTCTGACTAACGGTGGAACCCGACTGATGAAACATGTTGCAAACTCGCTAATTCTGATTGTTTATATCGTGTCACTGACCGTACATGTTATCGAGGCCCCTAATTCTGAGTGCCGATGTATTTTCCCAAATATATATCACTCCAACCAAGGATTTACTTGGGTTGTAATGAGAGCTTATGCATCAATTCTGAACCTTGGTGGCAAACGATGCCCTTGAGCTCCTTCAATGTGGGACCTCGTGTTAAAATTATATAAGTTATAATTTTATATAGGCTTGGTAGGTTGCTACTGAACCTTTCTGTAGGGGGTACAAACCCCTCCTTGTACTCCCTTCTCTTCCTAATCCAACCCCCTTTCTTCTCGACTTTCCTCCTACTCCTAGATCCGTTTTTCCTAGCGACGTTCCATGGCGGCCTTGCTCCTATCCTAGCTAAGCTAGTGTCATAACTTTAGGGACCTAGCATCCTAAGTTCTTAACATGGTATCAGAGCCGGTCGTGTCCACCGGACCCTCTCCCTACGTTCCCGTTGCGTACTCCTGCTGCATTCGCAGCCTTCGCGGTTTTCTGCCTGCCTGCCGTCGCGACGCCAGGATGTCGCGTCGGCCCCTTGTTACCTGCCGTCGCGGCACCAAGGTGTCGCGACGGCCCCTGGTTGCCCGCCGTCGCGGCACCAAGGTGTCGCGACGGCCCCTCGTTGCCTGCCGTCGCGGCGCCAAGGTGTCGCGACGGCCCCTTGGTGCAGCCGTCGCCCGTCCGCCTCACCGCTGCGACATTGACGGTGCGCTGCGGCGGCGTCTACGGCAGCCGACGGCATCGACGGGCTGCGGCCGGCCGAGCGACGTCTGTGGCGTCGGCGGGCCTGCCGCCCGCTCGCCAGCCACGGGCGTCCCTCAGGACGACGTCCTCCCGCCAGTAAGCGCCGCGCCATTTATGGCGCGTCGCTGAAGACTCGCCCCGCCCCCCCCCCCCCCCCCCCCCCCCATTCTCCCTTCCCCCTGCGTCTTCCCCTCCTCCTGTCGCAGCTGCTGTCTTCTGCCCGGACGTTGCCACATCACCGAGAGCCCTCAGCCGCGGCGGTCGCCGCCTGTTGTCCGCGACCCAGCCGCCTTGAGCCAGAGCTCCGCGGCTGCTTGTCGCTGACCCGCCTAGACGCCGTCGGCTGCCTCATGTACGGGGGTGTGTCAACGCTTTGCCTGAGGGTCAGATACCCGGCTAAGCACGAGCCTGAGGGTGTGCGGGGTTAGGGGGTGGGTTGGGTGCGGGTGTGGGGGTGTGAGTGGGCTTGACACTACCAAGCCTAGGGGGTGTGTTAAAATTATACAAGTTATAATTTTATATAGGCTTGGTAGGTTGCTACTGAACCTTTCTGTAGGGGGTACAAACCCCTCCTTGTACTCCCTTCTCTTCCTAATCCAACCCCCTTTCTTCTCGACTTTCCTCCTACTCCTAGATCCGTTTTTCCTAGCGCCGTTCCATGATGGCCTTGCTCCTATCCTAGCTAAGCTAGTGTCCTAACTTTAGGGACCTAGCATCCTAAGTTCTTAACACCTCGCTTGGGCAATCCACATTACATTTGGGTACAAAAAAGTACATGGATGACACAAAGAGTTGGCACATATTTGTTTGTTTCAATTGACAATATTTTGTGTGCCAAGCATTATTTCGCTTATTTGTGCTGTCTATTCATGCCACAACTGCAGCATCTGCTTCAGCTCGTGCCGGTGCTCTCTCCTTGACAGTCATGTAGAGTCCCTGCACGTACCGCACAATTTTGACATGGAGATGGGATGAGAAGGTGCAACAGGTGCTGTGAGTAACCTTATGAATCGTGCTTGAACGGTGAGCTTACATTCTTGGTGTGGATGGTGGCGCCGGTGGTCATGCTGATGTCCTGGTTGGGCACAAGTGCGAAGTCAAACTCGCGGATGAGCACCGACAGCGCGCAGATGGCCTCCAGCATCGCAAACTGGTCGCCAATGCACTTGCGCGGCCCGCCACTGAAGGGGATGTACCTGGTGCCGGGAGCACAGCAGGGCAAGGCGCAAGGAGAGAAGGACACTGAATAGCCAGGGGCTGACACCAGGCAGGTGAGTACCTGTTGCAAGGGACACGGCTGGAAAGGGTTTGAGGTAAGCAGTGGAGTGCGTGAAGGGACGCCTGGCAATCCAAGGGGAAAGACGTCTGCCTGTGATTGAAATGCTCTGCAGCAAAACCCTCTCAATCCTGTGAGCAAGCCCCCATGCAGCTTCAGTTCACACCTTTCTGCGCATCTCCCCCTACCTGTAGTCCGTGTTGACCTCATTGGGCACCGGCCCATCGAGGTCAAAGCGCTCGGGAATGAACTCCTCTGCCTGCTCCCACACCTGCCAGCGCCACGCGGTGATGCCAAGGGGTGGTGTCCACGAGACAAGGAGGGGAGGAAGAAGAACAAGCGCAGCGGACAAGATATGGGAAACGGCACAAGTGAAGAGATGGTGAAGCCAAGCCAGGGTGCAGAAACAGCAAGAGGGAATTGGTGCACAGTAAAACTTGGGGAGAGGGCATGTGCACACGTACCTGTGGCGAGTGGTGGATGTTGTAGACCGAGATCATGACATCTTGCCCCGGCTCCAGCTTGTACCCCCCCGGCAGCACGTCCCTCACCCGCGCCCGCCGGATGAGAATCTGCCATGCACACGTGACGGCAGCGGAAGGCATGGGGCGGCAGTGTAGAGCATGCATGACGGGACACCTCATGGGAGCACAACGCATACACGAGCGCCCAACTGCGCCTGGTGGCAATACCTGTGGACAACACCACCATCAGCTGCAAACACTCGCAATCAACCGCACAGAAGCAGCAGCATTCGACACTCATCCAACCGCATCACGAGCACTGATTGGTGCGTGGGTGGGGGTAGAGGCGCATGCACTCTCATGCACTGACTGGTGGGTGCGGGTATGGGCACATGGACTCATGCACTGACTGGTAGAGGCGCATGCATCCGTGCACTGACTGGGGGGTGGGGGGGGTAGGGGACTGACCGGGGGGTGGGGGTAGTGGCGCTTGCACTGACCGGGGGGTGGGGGTAGAGGCGCATGGACTCGTTGATGCAGCGCGTGAGGTACTTGAGCTCCCGGGTGTCTGCCAGGCTCGGGTGGCTCTTCCCCGCCAGCACGCGCTCCGCCTCCTCCTGGGCCTTGGCCATCTTCTCCGGGTTCTGCCACCGCCACCACGGGGGCACGTGCACCGGGGAAAGAATGCGGGGGGGGGGGGGGGGGGGGGGGGGCGGGGGTCGAAGGAGGGCAGGGGGTGGGGTTGGGGGAGGGGGGGGATAGTGTGAACGCGGGATAGGGAGGAAGTCCTGTGGATGCATCCGGAATGGAGGGACGTTTTAAGAAGAGCAAGGGGAGGGGGGATGAAAGCAACCTATGAGTGGATGCGTGGAAGCTGGAAAAGTGGGAGCAAGGCCAAGGAGGCCCGGCGGGTGGGTGGGGCTTGCCTGGGCGAGGAGGTAGACGGTCCATGTGAGCACGGAGCCGGTGGTCTCGTGGCCCGCCACCAGCATGGACAGCAGGTCGTCGCGCAGCTGCACGGATGACACCTGCGGCAATGGGGGGGGTCAGGGGGGCGGGATGAGGGAAGAGAAGGGACGGACCAGAAGATCGTCTTTGCCTGTTCCCAGCAGACGGTGAGGACGGAAAATGCCAGGGCGCACGACATAGCAATGGAAGCCTGAAGGAGCAGAAGGAGCACGAGAAAGGTGAGCCCCACTCACCTCTTCGCGGCTGGCGAGCAGGAAGCGCAGGATGCTGGGGTCGCTCTCGTTGACGTACTCCTCGTCGTCGCCCCGTCGCTCGCCCTCCGCCTCCACCATCTGCTTGCACTGCGCCACCAGCCGCTCCACCGTCTCGCGGATCACCGCCACCGCCTCCGCCGCCTTGCGCTGCCGCGGGTCGATGGCGCACAGCACAGGCACCTGCGGGGGAGGGGGGGGGGAGGGGAGAAGGATGGGGGAAGGCATGGCAGGGCCGTTATTGGGGCAGGAATGGGGAGCATTCATGCATGATCCCGAGTGAGCTGCTATGGGCAGTGGGTCCCATGCAAGAATACTTTGTAACACGTGCACTGAATACACTGCCTGCGCCTGTCAGAAGGTTCTTACACAGGCCTGGCCGGTAACACTCAACTCAAGGGCTCTAGAATCTTCGGTCTCCAACCCTCGCGGATTCGCGGCTAGATTCTCGAGCTTTGGGTTCTTTTGAGGCGCCTCAAAAGTCGAGCTTTGGGTTCTTTTGAGGCGCCTCAAAAGTCGAGCTTTGGGTTCTTTTGAGGCGCCTCAAAAGTCGAGCTTTGGGTTCTTTTGAGGCGCCTCAAAAGTCGAGCTTTGGGTTCTTTTGAGGCGCCTCAAAATTCGAGCTTTGGGTTCTTTTGAGGCGCCTCAAAAGTCGAGCTTTGGGTTCTTTAGAGGCGCCTCAAAAGTCGAGCTTTGGGTTCTTTTGAGGCGCCTCAAAAGTCGAGCTTTGGGTTCTTTTGAGGCGCCTCAAAAGTCGAGCTTTGGGTTCTTTTGAGGCGCCTCAAAAGTCGAGCTTTGGGTTCTTTTGAGGCGCCTCAAAAGTCGAGCTTTGGGTTCTTTTGAAGCGCCTCAAAAGTCGAGCTTTGGGTTCTTTTGAGGCGCCTCAAAAGTCGAGCTTTGGGTTCTTTTGAGGCGCCTCAAAATTCGAGCTTTGGATTCTTTTGAGGCGCCTCAAAAGTCGAGCTTTGGGTTCTTTTGAGGCGCCTCAAAATTCGAGCTTTGGATTCTTTTGAGGCGCCTCAAAAGTCGAGCTTTGGGTTCGGCGTTTTCCTACGCCGCCTCGCGGCCGCTCCTTGGCATGTGGTTCACTCCAGTTCACCTTTCACGCGTCCCTGCCATTCCATTCCTGCTACCGATGCCATCTCTTTTGTCCACGATGCCTGCTTAGCACGCGATATTCCTCACATGAGTAACGGACTCACCTGCCAGTAGGGGAGGATGTCGCCTCACCTGCCAGTAGGGGAGGATGTCGCCTCACCTGCCAGTAGGGGAGGATGTCGGTGGAGCGGGACTCGGTCTCCTTGAGCGCGGTGTAGACGGCTTGGATGAGCGGGGAGTCGGTGGAGAGCGAGTCGAACTGGAAGTTGAACACGGCCAGCCCGATCACGTCCAGCGTCAGCTGCGAAAACATCGCCTCCATGTTCACCCCGTCGCTCCCCCCCGCGCCCCTCCGCAGCTTGTCCACCAGGTGCGCCGTGCTCGTGGCGAACACCGTCGCCACCATGGTCTCCAGGTACTTCCGATGCAGCGACGGCCCCACCGCGCGCCGCCGAGCCTGCACGCACCACGTGCCTCGTGTCAGGCGTACGTGCAAGACCAGCAGATGCAACTTATGTGTGGCAGCCTATGTGCAACCTACGTGCAGCCTATGTGCAGCCTATGTGCAGGCTATGTGCAACCTATCTGCAGCCCATGTGCAAGCTAAGGAGCGCGAGCAGCGAGGGCGAGGAGTGCGGCTTACGGTCCAGAGGTCGCCCTCGGCGATGGCGAAGCCCGAGCCGAAGAGGAACTCCGCCACCTCCGCCACCAGCCCCTTGGCGTACGTCGCGCCGTACCCCCGCAGCACGTGCTTCGCCGCCTCCGGCTCGCCGATTATCACGAAGTTGCGCGGCCCTGCCGCCAGCCTGCACCCACACATCACGGTTCATTGAGCATGCCGTCGCGAGGCATCACTATCCCTGGCAGCATTGGACTATCCCTGGCAGCATTGGACTATCCCTGGCAGCATTGCATACTTTTCCCTGACAAGATCTCTCAGGCATTATCTCTCACGCACCAGCAGACAGGTATGATCGGTCACAACATGCCCGGCCATGCCGCTCACCGATAGACGGGCCCGGATTCGAGCATCCACTTGAAGAGCGGCAGGAAGAGCGCGCCGCCCAGCAGGTCCTTCACGTCGTCCAGCTTCGCGTCCGCTACAGGGATGCCCGAGTCGTCGGGGCCGCGCAGCGACGCGAACAGGGACGTCAACCAATCGGGACTCACCCACGTCAGCCCCGCTCCCGCCACGTCCTTGTTGCTGCCGTCCTGCCCATTCCTATCGTTGGCAGCTCTGGCCACCAGACGACCCTTCCTAGCTACGCCATTGCCTCGGCTTTTACGTGACGCGATGCGCGCATTGAGGCGAGGCTCGCCGGTAAAGAAAGGCGAGGAGGCGGCTGTAGGAGAGCCCAGCCGTAGAGATGCGGCGTGCGAGCACGCGATTCCTGCTGCTGGAGCCATGCTTCTGGTGCTCGCGACTGGTATTTGGTTGGAGTCGCGCTGCTTAGCGAAAGAAGAGCAGCAGGAAGCCAACTACAGTATGGTTCTAGCAGCAGAACTGAAGCCTGGGTGAGAGCCACAAATGGTTGCACAGCTAGAGAACTTGCAAAAATCCCGAGGGAAAAGGTGCTGGGCTTGGCTGGAAAAGCTGGTCATGACGAAGCAATCCAAAACCAAGGGAAAGCCACGTCAGCGCTTAAGTGCCCAGCGAGGCCAATCCAAAGCAGCTTGCCGCGCTGGCGAAGAATCCCAGCCACGAATGGATTCCACGGCGCGCTGTTGTGCTGGCCCCGTTTCCCTTTCACTGTCGTTTCTCAAATGCAACAGACCCTTTCTACAGCTCATGGGTTATCTTCATATAATCTCACTGCTAATAATGGAACGTAGTAGAAATTGTGATTACTCGTACATACAGGGTATATCAATATAGACTAAGATATTGGGTGGACTTGTGTCCCCCATAATAATTTGCAGCTGGTGTTCACTTTGTCAGTCTTCTCAGGATAGATCTTGCGATGCATCCCTTGCCCTTGTGCCTGCAACAGGATCTTTTGCAAGTCCACTAGCACCTGCTGCTTTTTCTCCATGTGCCGACACAGCTTGCGACTGCGTTTCTCAACCGCAGTAAATCGCAGCAGTGTTTTCTCTGCCCGCTCGAGCAGCTTCTCTGCCTCCTGCACCTGGACATGAGACTTGTCCACCGCCGCCTCCACCACACGTGGCTCCATTGCCTCAAACTCCTCCCTCCACCCCTTCTCCCGCTTCTCCTTGCAGCCGCCCTGCTCCAGCACTGCCACCATCTCCCAGTACACCGCCCCTGTCACCTGCTGCAGCGCCGCCCGAGCTGCCTGCAGCTGCCTCTGCAAGTCCTCCGAGCCCCCTGCCCCTCCTCCCCCGCCCTTAGCCCCAGTCCCAGCTGTGCCTGCTCCAGTTGCCCCTACGGCAGCAGCAGCAGCCCATAGCAGGGGCGTGCTCATCCATTTCCTCAGCCTGCTTGGCTCGCTGCCGCTGCCGCTGCCATTGTACGCGCTGCCTCCCCCTGCTACAGTGCCCGAGCCTGGCACTGTGAGGTACGACAAATCTCGAGTGGGTGTGCGAGTGGGGGTGTGTGAGGGAGTGTTTGTGAGTGTGCGGGTGAGTGTGCGGGTGTCTGTGAAGGACTGGGTGTGCCCCCTGGGCGTGGAGGCGTTGCTGGAAGGGCCAAGAGTCAGGGCCAGTCGACTGAGACTCCGCCGTGAGTTGAGCACTGCACTCGGCCCCTCGCCCCCACCCTTGCCAGCAACTCCCATACCCTTGGCATATCCTGCACCCTCGCTGCTGCTGCTGATGGCGGGCACCAGGCTCACCACCGCCGCCATCTCCTCGATCGCCCGCCGCCGGTCCTCCCCATGGCGCCCATGCGCCTCCCCTCCCTCCCACGCATCACTCGTCCCCTGCCCGCCCCCCCCCTCTGCCCCCATCCCATCACACAGCTGGTCATGCGGGTCACTCTCAGACCGCTCGCTGCCCGCCGCACACCACTGCCCGCCATGCCTTGTCTGCACCGACGGCCCGCGCTGCATGCCCTGCTGGGCGCCCTCGTGCTCGCACTCACCCCCCGGTGCCACCTGCTTCCCCCTCCCTTTCTCACTGCCTCCTGCAACTGACTTCACCCTCCTGTGTGCACTGCTGCTGCTCTGCTCCTCTCTGCTCCCAATCTGCTCGCTGACACTGGCACTGGCAGAACGGGCATGCATTACCCCTATGGACCACCCCTCACCTCGTGATGCGCCCTTGCTGCTCTCTGCCCCTCCACGCCCCTCCTCATTCTCCCTCTCATCCTCCTCCTCCTCCTCCTCTTCCCCATGCATAGCAGCAGCGTCATCCTCACTCTCCATATTCTCCCCTGCTATCTCCTCTTCTGATTCGCTCTCCTCCCCCTCTTCCTCTCCATGTCCCACGCTGTCCTCCTCAGCCCTCTCTTCCCCCGCACCTCCCTCTGGCACCACCCTCTCCTCAACCGCCCCACCACCACCCATCCAATCACACGTGGCAGCCACGACAGTTGGAGTTTCTTCCACGTCAGCAGCAGCTGACTCGTACCAGCCCTCCTCTGAACCACCCTCGCTCAAAACCTCCCCTTCCTCCACATCCTCGTTCTCCCCTGCTCCGTATCTCGCATCTTTCCCTTGTCTCCTTGCGTCGTCTCGTGCCCTCTCATCCTCTGCTCTTCTCCCCTCGTCAGGTCTCCTCCTCTCTTCCTCCTCTCTTTCTTCCTCTCGTCTTCTCTCTTCCTCCTCTCTTCTCTTCTCCTCCACTCTTCGCCTCTCTTCCTCCTCCCTTCGTCTCAACTCCTCCTCTCTTCGTCTCAATTCTTCGTCTCTTAGTCTCAATTCCTCCTCTCGTTGTCTAGATTCCTCCTCTGTCCGTCTCTCTTCCTCCTCTCTTCTTATCTCGTTCTCCTCTCGCCTCCTCGCATCCTGCTCATCCTCCGCAATGCCCTCCGCCATGGGTCTCTCGTGTGCGTCCCACATGCCCTCAGCGCCCACTTCATCCCCTCCAGGCCTGCCCTCTCGCCACCACTCACTCCTTCTAATCCCTCTCTCCGTCTCCTCCTCCTCCTCTTCCTCCTCCACCTCCTCGCCTCCCTCCGACCATTCGTCCTCGTCCCCCACGGGAACCCCTTCCGCCAGCACCCCACTCAGGCTCCCTGCCTCCTCTTCCTGCTCCTCCTGCTCCTTTGGATTCCCCCTCCCGCCCCTCCGCCTGCCCCCTCCCCCCCGGATTTTGAGCAGCAGCAGCTTGAGCGCGACGCACAGCTGCAGCGCGCCCTGCTCCAGCCAGTTGCGCTCCTCCGCGCGCGCACACACCCTCTCCGCGTCCCGCACCAGCGCCCCAACCTCCCCCCTCAACCACCTCGCCTCCACCCCCGCCTGCCTGCCCACCCTCTTCGCCACATGCCCCATGTGCCGCAAGTGCCCCTCACTGTGTCTTTTCTGTCCTTTGCCGTCCCTCTCACCATCAACCCCAGGATGAGCGTTCACTCGTGCCCAGCCCTCCTCTCTGCACTCTCTGCTGCCTCCCCATTGATCCCCACACTCTCCGCCCCTCCTCTCGCCATCACTCTCCGCCTCGCCCCCCCACCCCCTCCCATCACAGGTGTGCCCCAGCCCCGGCCCTGCCTCACCCTCTCCCCACAGCTGCTTCTCACCCTCGTGCTCATGGCGCCATCGTGTCCCCTGGCCGCCGCTCATTCTCTCAATACACGCCTCAAGGCCGCTGCAGCTCTCCATCCCTCTGCCCCTCATGCTGCCCCGCGGCTCCTCTCCCTCCACGTGCTCCTCCCACCCAAACACAGCACTGCCCTCCCTGCCACATGCGCCACCAGCCCCACAAGGAGCTGACGCCTCCCCTGCGTCGGACCCCGCCCCCCTGAAGTGGAACGAGAACTCCGACGCCGTCTCCGTCTCCTCGTCCGTCTCTGCCTCCGCCCACATCCCCCCGCACCTCACCCCCTCTTCCCCCTCCGCCCGGCATGCCTCACGCACAGCAGCACCTGCCCTCCTCTCACACGGCCTGCACCTCCCTGCCTTGCCCCTCCCACGCCCCTCCCCACCCTCTGCCCGCTCAGCAGCAGCGTCCCCTTCCCTCCTCCCCGCGGCACTCTGTCTGCTGCAGCTGGAGTCGTGGCTGTGGCTGCTGCTGCTCGTGTTGCTGCTGCTGCTGCGACGGCCCCCTCTTGCGCCTTTCCCGGAGGGGCCGCCGTGGATCATTTTCTCCCGGCACCCGCTGCACAGCCCGCTCATGCTGTCGGCGCTGCTGCTCAGACTCACGCTCAGGCTGATGCTGCCATCCACGCTGCCCGCCTCGCACTCATTCTCATTGCACGCTCTCGTCCTCTCCCCTCCTGCCCCCTCCTCCCCTCCCCCCTCCTCTATACCAATCACCCCCTCATGGACCGGTGCTGCTGGCCGGGACCACCCCCTCCACTTGCTCACCACGTCTGCTGCGCCCTCCTCTACCCCCCCATCTTCCGCGCCTAGCTCCAACACCCCCACTTCTCCCCCCAGCAGCGCCTTGCCGTGCGCCTTGCCATTCCCCCGCAGCTCCGCCATCAGCTGCGCGTTCGCGAGCCTGAGCGCGCGCAGGGCGTGGTCGGCGCGCTCCTCGCGCTCGATGGCGACCATGGCCATGGCGTGCGTGGCGCTCACCTCCTCCTCCATCTCGCTGATCAGCAGTCGGAACTGCTGCTCGCGCTGCGCCGCCGACCCGCACAGCTGCCGGATCTGCTCCTCCAGCTCCGCCACCTCCTCCCGCGCGCGCCGCAACTCCTCCTCGTCCACCCGCCGCGCGCTCTGCGCCGCTTCCGCCGCCGCCTCGCTCCGCTCCTCCGCGCTCTCCGCTTCGCTGGCCTGCTCCAGGAGGTCCGCCATCTCCGACTGAGTGAGCGGGGAAGCACGGGAATGAAGGGTTTCGGGAATAAACACGCAAAAGCAGAGCAGGAGCAGCGAGGCGTGGGGCGTGCGTGAGCGACTCTACCTGTAGTGTTTCCACCTCTCGCTCCAAAGCCGCGACTCTCCTCTCCGCCGCCATTCTCCGCCAACACTCCGCCTCCGCCTCTCGCTCCGTCGCGCGCGCCACCTCCTCTTCCGCGCGCAACGCGCACTGCAACTCCGCGATCTGAAAGGCAGAGTGGCGAGGGACGAGCGGATGGGCGTGGGAGTTGGAACAGAGAACGGACGCGGTGACTACCAGAGGAGGCTATTCTTTTCAAGCATCGTTTCTGGTGTGGGCCCGGAATGGGTCACGTGTCATGCTCTTGCCTTGGTGTTGAGCGCCTTCTCGCTGTCTTGCAGCGCCTGTATTTCCTGCCATGACGCTCGAAGCTGCTCCTCCACCGACTCGCCGCATCCTTCCAACTCCGCCATCCATTCTCGCCCCCCATCCACCTCCGCGCAGCGTTCCCTTGCACCTTCCGACTCCAATCTCCGCCCTCTTGTCTCGTCCATGTCCCCCGAATGACCCCTCGCACTGTCTCGCTCCACGCACCGTTCCTCCCTCCAATCCGCTTCGCCCCATCGTTCCCTTTCACCGGTATACTCTCTACAGCCTTCCGCCTCCGCGCGACTCTCCCTGCCCTCAACCTCTCTTGTCAACCGTCCCCGTGTCCTACACACTCCGCCAGATCGTTCTCTGGCGCCCATCGATTCCGCGCGCCGATCCAACGGCAGTGTCCCGCTGCACTCCCCCGGCTGCGTTCTTGTCCGCGCAGACTCTGACCGCCGGCCCAGCGCCATGCCCCAGCTGCCCTCCCTTTCACCCGCTGGCTCTGCGGGCTCTTCCACCTCCCCACAACTCTCCCTCGCCCCAATCTTCCCTGACAGCCGTTCCGGCGTCCTAGACAATCCGCCAGGTCGCTCACTACGCCCCACGGATTCCGCGCGCCGACCCAACGGCAATGTCCCACTCGGCGCTCTCGACCGCGCAGACTCCGACCGTCGCCCCATCGCCATGCCCCAGCTGCCTTTCCTTTCACCCGTTGGCCCTGCAGGTTCGTCCGCCTCCCCACAAGTCTCCCTCCCTGCCATCCGTTCCTGCGGTCTAACCAGTCCGGCAGATCGCTCACTACGGCCCACAGATTCCGTACGACGATCCAGCGGCAACGTCCCGCTCCGCGCTCTTGTCCCCGCCGACTCCGACCGTCGTCCCATCGCGCCGACCCATCTGCCTTTCCTTTCACCCGTTGATTCTGCGGGCTGTCCCGCCTTGCCGCGATTCCCCTTTGTTTCGGATATTCCAGCCGATCGCTCCCTTGCCCCGAACAGCCCGTCAAATCGTTCCCTACTGCCCACGGATTCCGCGCGCCGATCCAACGACAGTGTCCCGCTCTGCGCTCTTGTCCTCGCCAGCTCCGACCGTCGCCCCATCGCCCCGCCCCATCTGCTTTCCTCAGCCACGGGCCCCACCAGGCTCCGCTCTGTTTCCAATGATGTCTCCGAGTCGTGCTGCCTCCCCTCACCCAACAACTCCCCATCCCGCGCCCTCTCTCCCTCCAAGCCCCCCTGCCGCTCACCCTCAGCTCCGACCGTCGCCACCACGGCGGATGAGCCCACCGACGGCTGCGATCGCGACCACGACGGCAGGCGGCGACCAGGGGAGGTGGCGTTGGTGAGACGAGCGGTGGTCGAGGGAAGGGCCGGAGCGGTGGAGTGCGGTGAAAGGCAGTGCGGGGCATCGGTGGTGTGGTGTGTGGCTCCATAGAAGTGTGTGAGCCTATCTACCATGGCATGCTTGATGTAGGGAGAGGAGCGGCAGATGTGGTTGGTAAAAAAAAGGAGTGGAAGAATTGACAGTAGGGAAGAATCGTCCTACACGAGCATTTCTGTCTCTGACGCGTCCAGCCTAATCCGTAGCTAAGCTCAGGCTAAAGCTGATCTTGAACCAAACGTCCACGATGTAAGCTCTACAGGAGTTTTAGCTGCACTGGCGAAACAGCAGTACTAGGTGTACTTCGTCGATCAAGCATGATATTGCCAAGGTAAACATGCCCAAATTTCGTCAGCTTTCTCAAGCCTAAAGCTACTAGCTAGTCATGGCTAGAGCGTCAGCGTAGCTGAAACCTTGCACTAATCTCGTCTACAATCTGAAGACGCATCAAAAGACGAAAATTTCGGAATTGCTCTCGAAATAAGGTCGTGGTTGTGAGGAACCTAGGGGTCAGAGGCAGTTGGGGCACTCAACAGTGCGAGCAGCACCACCTTGGGATTCGCTCGCCACACGACACAGGCAAGCAGCAGCGCAGGCAGGGGCGTTGCAGCAGCTCGAGTCGGGTGATACGGGCTCAGGGAATTCGAAGGCAGGTGGAACAACTCGCACCCATTGGTTGGTCGGTGAGAACTTCGTCTGGCGCCGAAACGGGTTGAATAGTTCCCGCTCTTTTCTGAGGCAGGACAGTCACAACGGCTCGCGGCTTGTCGCGCTGGCTGGAAAATTTCTGTTCGCCAAATTCAAGGTGGGGTGCACTTTTGCGAAGAGAAGAAGGGTTACAGTTACATACGACCATATAGTAAGACTGAGATTATGCAGTACAAACCAACAAATCAAGAAAATTCAATACTCAACATGACTAAAAGAAATGCAGATGATTCTCTTTGTTTTCTTTGTTCAGATTAAATATCGAATGAGTTTTCCTGGTTCAAGCCTTCAATAGTTTCCATACATCTTGTTCTATTGCTGCACCGTCCACTTTGTTTCGCGTTCCTCACCATGTCACCATTCCACCGCCCCTTCTCCCAGTTTCTTCCTGTTCCTCCCCAGCCCAAGCCAGCAACAATGGGCCTATCTGGACAACGCGCGATTCCAGCGACTGATGCGCATTCTCAAGCAGTCCGCAGCCGCCATGCAGCATCCACGCCAGGCCTTAGAACCCCCATGTAGATGTGCCACTCCCCATCCGACTGCCGGTATGCCTCTAAACTAGTATCGAATTCGTCCCTATCGTCCTGTCAGCGGCAGCCATGGCGACGTCGCTCCTTCGCCTTGCTCCGCGATCCACGCCCTCCTCGTCCTACCACCCGCGATCCCACGCGCCTTCTCGTGCGCCACGGGGCGGAGTTGCCACGTCAGCGTCGCGTGTGTCGCTCCGACGCTCTCTCCCCGCGGCATGCCTCGCCCTGCTGCTGCTCTTGCTGCTGACGACGCCGCTTCTGCGCTCCCGCTCCCGCGCTCGCTCTCGCCCACTGTCGCCGGAAGGTCTATCGACGCAGGCACATCCGAGCGCTGCTATCCGCGTCGCCAGCGGTGACACCCCCGGAGGGACGGGAGGGGACGGCAGGGAGGGAGGCGGGGAAGAAAGGGAGGCAGGTGGCGAGTGTGCACACGCGAGTGGAGGGTCGTGCGGGCGGGGTGATGTGGGCGGCAAGACGTGGCAGCCGCTGAGGGTGTATCTGCTGCTGCTGCCGTCGCTGTACAACGTGGACCTCATCCCCATGGCGCAGGTAATTCAGCGCCTCACTTACGTATGCTCCTCTTCCCAATATGCGCATCTCTTCTCAAACCCTTCCTGTTCCTCTTACATGTCAACCCCCTCTCCGGCTCCCATCCCCACTCCGGCTCCCATCCCCTCTCCGGCTCCCATCCCCTCTCCGGCTCCCACCCCCTCTCCTGCTCCCATCCCCTCTCCCTGCTCACCGCCTGCTGCCTCTGGAAGGGCTTCAGTCGCTGCTGCCGCCAGCGGCCTTGTCCTCGCCCTCGCCGCCCTCCCCCTCCGCGGCCTGCGCCGTGCCCATCCACTCCCCCCACGCCGTGCCGCTCTCGTGGCTGCAACCCCCCTCCTCCCGCTCCTCCCCCTCGGCCTCCTCTGCATCTTCCCTCACTCCGGCTGCTTCCCCTGACAGCACTGCCGGCAGTGCCGGCAGCACTGGCACTGGCACTGGCAGTGGCAGCGCGCCTGGCACCCTACCGCCCCACCTGCTGCCGCTCCTAGGCACACCTGACCTGCCAGACGTGCACATGCCCGTGTCCTTATCGGCCGCGCCCTCGCCACCACCACCAGCATCGCTGCCAGCATCAGCCGCCCCTGTGGACGTGAGCGTGCCGTGCTACCCCGAGTACCCCTACTACCGCCAGCACGGGGCCGAGTACTTCCTCACGCTCTCCCTCCTCACAGGTACGCACTTGCCATTGCTTCCCACTCTCTCCTCGCCTCCACTTACCGCCCTCTCATCTCCCCTCCGTCCCCCAGTCAGCCGCCGTGCCTCTCTCTCCACCTGCCCCCTTCCCCTCCCCTTCCTCCCGCCGCCAGGGTCGGCAACAGTTCAGCGCGTGCAGAGCCCCGAGGAGGCAGAGGTCGTCTTCGTGCCCTACTTCTCCACGCTCGCCTTCCGCACCAACGCCAGGTGTGAACAGCAATGCGGGGTGCTGCCTTGTGGCCGCCAACTCCAATAGCATTCAACGCTCCTTGTGGAAAGTCCTCCATGCCATGCTGGCCCCACCCAGTGCAACAGGGTCTAAGCGTCAGAAATCATTCCGCGATCCATTGCTACTAATTCCATGTTGAAGTCTCAGGCCTCTCCTGCGTTCCCCTTTCTCTCCTCTGTATTCTCCCACTCTCTCCTCCCCCCGTGCTCGCCAGTGAGGTCCTGGACCCCATCATTGCTCGCGTCGCCCACCGCCACGCTGCCACAGCCGCCAGCACCACCGCCACCGCCCAAGCCACTAATGGCACCACAGATGACCCACCCAGCACAGACGGCACAGACACAGCTGCAAGCAGCAGTGGTGCAGGCAGCCGTGATAGCACTGGCAGCGGTAGCCCTCCTGCCCGCGTGCCTCCGCTGGTGGTGCCGGTGGTGTACCCCCTGGCCATGTTCAACCACACCCAACCGCTCAGCACCGCCATCAAGCTCGCCGTCGACCTCGACCTGCACTGGACAGAGGTGCACTCCATTCCTCCCCCTTCCTTGCACCTTCCTTGCCTGTTTCTTGAAGCACTCCTCCTTCTGACCTCCGCTGCGCGCTCCCTGCCCAGGGTGAAGGCACTCAACATTTGCATCGCGCGTCTCCCTCCTCCTCCCTCAATGACTGCCGTATCTACCATCCCTTCCGCCTCCCTCGCTGCACTCCCCTCTCCTCCCCCCCCTCTCCAGGCGGCATCGTTCGACCGCGATGTGGTGGTGCCGTACGTGCCCCTTGTGCTGCCCTTCACGCACGACACCGGCTCCTGGGCTGCTCGCCCGCTGCTGCTCTTCTTCCAAGGCACCACCGACAGATGGGGGGTGCGTCCCTGAAGGGGGTTTGGGGGGTGAGTCCCTGAAGGGGTTGGGAATGCGAGTGTGAGTGTGAGTGATGGGCAGGGCTGGGGTGTACCTCTCGACTCACACACACTGGGAAGCCTCATGGGCGGCCCGTCCCCTGCTGCTCGTCCTCAGAGGCACCACCGACTGATGGGTGATGTGTGGCGCTTGTGCATGGCAGCATGGCTATGGCTCATGCGTGTTGCGCTGTGCACAGTCCACCACGGGCCTCACCTCAGCCAACTGCCTGCCCGCCCCATCCCTGCCCGTTACTTTCCCGTTCCCCTTATATTTTCCGGGATCTCCTCGCTCTCCCACTCCTCTCACAGGGCGGCATTATTCGGCAGCACCTGCAGCACGTGCTGCAGGGGGAGGAGGGGGTGCAGTTCACGGTGTCGCGGGCCGACAACAGCAGCATGACGGGCGAGGCGGGTGCTGCCATGCGCCGCGCCAAGTACTGCCTCGTGCCCCGAGGTGTGACACGTAGTGAATGGTGTATGCTGCCCCGTGCGGAGGGCGGATACATTCGTGATTGCCAATGAGTGGATCATTGCCACTTGCATACCCTTCCTTCTCTCTCTCCTCCATGCTCTCCAGCTGCATGCCTGCGATCACCACATCAGCACCTCCATCTCTCCCTTTCATCCCGTGCCTCCCTTTGCCCCTCTCCCTGCCCTCCTCAGGTGACACCTCCTCCAGTTGTCGCCTGTTTGACGCCGTGCTCTCAGGCTGCATCCCCGTGGTGATAAGTGACGCCCTCGATCCGCCCTTTGAGGACGCCATTGACTACACCGCCTTCAGCATCCTCATCCCCGCTGCCCTCGCCGTGCGCCCGGGGTACATCCTGGGTGTGCTGCACGGGCGCACAGAGGCAGCGTGGCGGCAGCAGTGGGAGGCCCTGAGAGAGGTGCGTCCAGGTGCGTCCAGGTGCGTCCAGGTGCGTCCAGGTGCGCCCAGGTGCGTCCAGGTGCGTCCAAGTGCGTCCAGGTGCGTCCAGGTGCGTCCAGGTGCGTCCAAGTGCGTCCAGGTGCTGTCACTCCTGCCGCTCTGGCTGGACGCCATCGCCCCGCCCATTGGGCATGCCCTTAGATGCACCCACTTAAGCCGTGTTGTCCCCGCTATGGTTGCTGTGCGCCCCTGGTGCACCGTGAGCGTGCTGTACAGGCAGGCAGAGGCTGTGTGGGGGCAGCAGTGGGGCCATGCGGCAAGTGATGGGGGGGGGGAGGGTGCGTGTGTGGTGCTGGCAGGGCTTGTGTGGGAGGGGCGGTGAGAGAGGTGAGTTGCAGGGGTTGCTCCTTGGGTATGTGTGTGTGTCGCAGGCGGTAACAGCAGGGTGCACAGTGCCATGCCATGGTTGGAGGGACCTGCTGCTTGCATGGCCGCACCGCAACCCCTTGCTGCGGCCATCCGCTCCCTCCTCCTCTTTCTCCCTCGCAGCTGCCTCACCACGTCCTCTGCTCCGCGCCCCCACGGACGGGCGGCGCAGAGGACATGGCGTGGCGGAGGGGAACAGGTGGCACGGCATGGGCGCCCGCCAAAGTCCCCTTAGTTGTGCCTTCTCCCTCCCTGGTCCCTCCCTCGCAGGTGGCTCACCACTTCCTCTACTCCTCGCCCGCACGAAGAGGCGGTGCGGAGGACATGGTGTGGCGGGCAGTGGCACGGCGGGTGAGGGGGGGGTTCTCCCCGCACTACCGGAACAAGAGGGGGCGCATTCTACTTGGGCAGCTGGCTAGAGCAGGGCTCAATGCGTCCCATCTGGAACAACCCTTGCCGAACCGCCCCCCTGTGACCTTCGATGTATGGTAGCACGACGATGAAAAACACTAAAAATACACATGCGTTACAAAATAGTGATTTCATCGGGCGTTTCCTGTATAAAAGACAGCGCGTTACACCATTACATGGCATGGCACTTGCACATTTCTACTTCCCGATGCAGAACTTGCTGAAGATGTTAGACAGCACCTCCTCCGCCACATCCTCCTCGCCGCTCACCTGCCCCAGCGCCAGGATGCCGCTGCGCAGGTCAATGGACCAGAAGTCCAGCGGCAGCCCCGCCTCCATGCTCTCCCGCACACGCCCCACCGCCTCTGCTGCGCGCACCAGCTGCTCCGCCTGCCGCTGGTTCACGGCCCACTGCTGCCCGCCCTCTGCCACGCGCCCCGCCCCCACCGCCGCCACCACGGCCTGCTCGAGCTCCTCGAGCCCCATGCGCTGCGTGGCACTCGTGGCCACGCGCCGCCACACGGCGCGCTGCACCTCCTCTGGCACGTGCACGCTACCCTCCACCCGCTGGTCACTCTTGTTCTCCACCAGCACCACCACAGCCCCGCCCTCTGCCTCTGCACGCGCACCTTCTTGCGCCCCTGCATCTGTCCCCCACACTGCTGCTGCCGTGACGTGTTGACTCGAACCAGCACCTGCCTCCGTCTGTTGTCCTCCCTCCGCTGTTCCCTGTGCATGTGTATGTGCCTGTGCCTCTCCCCGTGCGTGTGCCTCTCCCCGTGCATGTGCGGGCGCGGAGCCTCGGATGCGGTGGAAGATGGCGCTGTCGTCCGCCGTCCACCCGTCCGCTGCACTCACCACCAGCAGCACCACGTCCGCCCCCGCTGCTGCCGCCTCCGACCGCTGCACGCCTGGCAAAAGCATTAGAGATGGCAGGAGGAGAATACAGGAGGAGAAAGGCAGCACGCAGGGTGGTGCAGGCAAGAAGCAAATGCCATGAGGTGGCACGCACGGTGCAAGCATGCATGAAGCAAATGCCATGAGGTGGCACGCATGGTGGATCATGCATGGCCTCCACACCCACTTGAGCACCCATGGCCGTCCCTCCACCCCTGAGAACCCCTGCGTGCACCTATGGCCTCCACAGCATCAGTGGTGTGGCGGATGCCTGCGGTGTCCGCCAGGCGCACGGGGAAGCCCCCCGCCTGGAGGTGCAGGTGGGCCTCCACCACGTCCCTTGTGGTGCCGGGGATGTCCGTCACGATCGCCCGCTCGCTCTCCGTCCACGCGTTCAGCAGCGACGACTTGCCCACGTTGGGCCGCCCCACGATGGCTACCTGCCAAGGCGTGCCGTGCCGGAATGGAGAAACAAGGAGGGCCGAGCCGGAATGGAGAAACAAGGAGGGCCGAGCCGGAATGGAGAGGGCAGGAAGCTGGAAGGTGAGTCCCCTTGAAGTGAGTCTAACATGCCGTGTTCTACTTCCTTGCAGTAAGAGTTTTGCACCACCTGTCTAACAGCTGGGCCGCAATAGCCCTACCTGAAGGCCGTACTCCAACAGTCTGCCCCGATTGGCTGTTGCCAGGGCGTCCTTGATCTGCTGCCAGATGGCGGCGATCCGACGGCTGACCTCCTCAACATCCAGTGGTGGGAGATCGTCCTCGAAGTCGATGCGCGCCTCGATGTCCACCAGCACGTCCATGCACGCTGCTCTCACACCTCGTATGTGCCGCGACAACCCGCCCTGCATGGTGGGTGATGGGAGATGCAGGGTGAATGGCGAGTGGCAATGAGGGGAAGAGGGAAGGGACGACCCTTGCTTCGATGCATGCCAGCACGTCCATGCATGCTGCGCTCGATGCCAGCACGTCCATGCATGCTGCGCTCACGCCGCAGATGCGCTGTGATAGCCCGCCTTGTGTGAAGGGAGATGGATGGGCGATGGACGATGGATGGTGAATGTTGAATGTTGGCATGGCAGGGAGGAGGGGACATAGAGGGTGTGGTTGGGGAGAAGGGGGAACAGTGAGGGCGGCAAAAGCAGCAGCACGTGATGTTTCTGCCTTATCCACTCCCTACCAGCTCTGCCTTATCCACTCCCTGCCAGCTCTGCCTTATCCACTCCCTGCCAGCTCTGCCTTATCCACTCCCTGCCAGCTCTGCCTTATCCACTCCCTGCCAGCTCTGCCTTATCCACTCCCTGCCTGCTCTGCCTTATCCACTCCCTGCCAGCTCTGCCTTATCCACTCCCTGCCAGCTCTGCCTTATCCACTCCCTGCCAGCTCCGCAACCATGGCAGCAGCAGCAGCAGTCTCTGCGTAACAGACCCTGCTCCCCCATTTCGACCATACCACACCCCCCTCTCCAACGACTTTATCCCCCTCTTCCCCCCCACCCACCTCCTCCCCACCTTGACCCCCGCCAGTGCAGTGCGGGCGGCAGCAACCGTCTCGGCTCGGATGAGAGCGGACACGGCCTCAGCCTGAGCAAGGTCCAGGCGGCCGTTGAGGAACGCACGCAGGGTGAACTCGCCTGGGGGGGGGAGGAGGTGCGTGAGTGGGGGAGAGAGAAAGAAATGGAGGAGGCGATGGGGAAGTGAAGTGGGGGAGAGAGGGCAGGAGAAGCTGACGTCAGCAGAGCATGTTGAGAGATGCGGCATGGATGGATGGATGGTGTGGCACTCAAATCACATGCAACACTCTGCACATTGACTGTGTAACACAGATGGCATGCCATGTCAAATCACCGCAGTACCATGCCACGTCATCACCTGCTCCTGCCAGCCTAGCGCCGTGGTGGACGGCGGTGGCGAGGCATGTCTGGGCGCACACCCTGCCGCCGTGGCAGTGGATCTCCACCACGTCCTCACGCGTGTACGAGCGCGGGGCCAGCATGGGGAGGATGAGCACCTGCACAGGCGGATGAGAGACGAGGGCGAAGAGGAGAGGAGGAGGAGGGGAGGAGAGGAGGGGAGGGCAGGAGGATGGGAGCTGGATGTGGCCGGCACCGTGCAACGCCACCAAACGCACCGCAAACTCATATGAGTCCTTCACCGGATCAGAAACATATGAAACCCAGAAACCCGCAACCCCCTAGACATACACAGGAAACGCTAAACCCTGAACCTCTTCCACCTCGCAACCCCCTAGAAAGATACACAGGAAACGCTAAACCCTGAACCTCTTCCACCTCGCAACCCCTTAGACAGATACACAGGAAACGCTAAACCCTGAACCTCTTCCACCTCGCAACCCCCTAGATAGATACACAGGAAACGCTAAACCCTGAACCTCTTCCAACTCGCAACCCTCTAGACAGATACACAGGAACCGCTAAACCCTGAACCTCTTCCACCTTGCAACCCCTTGGACAGATACACAGGAAACGCTAAACCCTGAATCTGTTCCACCTCGCAACCCCCTAGACAGATACACAGGAAACTAAACACCCTGCGCCCCTCCCACGCACCTCGTCGATGGTGTCCCCCGCCTCGTCCTCTATGTGTCCGTAGCTCACTCGGTGGCTCTCCACCCGCCACTCCCCCACCACTCCCCCTCCCCCGCACCCCCCGCGTTGCATCATCACCCCTCCGCCTCTACCCTCCTTTCCCCCCTTGCTTCTTTCCCCCACCTCGTCCCCCGCATTTCCCCCTCCTCTGTCGTCCCCGTCATCTATTGCTGCCCCCTTCCCCAAGCCCCCCGCCCCTCCGCCAACTTCTCCGCTTCCCCTTCCCCAATCGTCGCTGTTCACTGGCCTTTGCGCCATCTCCCCCTGCTTCCGCGCTCTGCCCGCTTTCCGCGAGGGGCGGAACATGCGCCGTGCGATGCTCACGGCGGCGGGGCCGGAGACCCGCACGATCGCGACGCCACCTGACGTGGACGACACGGCAGTGACCACCGCCGCGATCGTGTCGCCGCCTGTTGCGGCGCCCTCTGAGCGGGTGCCCTCCTCCCGCGCGCTTTCGGCGGAGCGGGGGGCGGGGAGGCAATCCCCCGGGGCGCCGGGGATACCCTCATGAGGTGAATGCGCGGCCGAGCCGTGCGCGGTGAACGTCTGCGCGCCATCAAGGTGCGCGGAAACCCGCGCACTGCCCCCTCCGCGGTCGTGGCTGCGGCTGGGTGCGCCGTCCGAGCGACGGTCAACAAGCCGGCTGACGTGGCTTCTGTGGCCGAATTGGCGGATGCTAGCGACGCGATCGACGAGAGGAAGGGAGGAAGAAGGACGAGCGGCAAGAGAGAGCGGGACGGGCGCAAGGCGCAGCGCTCCAAGGGCCATGAGGCGCGCCGGCGCAGCCAAGGCCCGAGGGAAAACGGAGGCGGTACGCGCAAAGTGAAAAAGGAATCGGGCACGCGCGATCGACGGCACTATGGCGCACATATGGGCACAGACAAAGTACAGGCGAGTTGCAGGATATGACGGTGCGCCATGGCACCTCGCTCAGAACATCGCGGTGACAGGCAGCCCGCTAAGGGCGCGGAACTGAATGCTCGGTTCACTTGTGGAGATTCGATATTTCTAGAGGCAACCAGATTCGCAAGTGTCGTGAATTCGATTCGTCGTTCCAACCAGAAACGGGCATTTGAAGCCCTGGAATGTCGCACCGCAGACGTTTCGAGCTAAATTTCGCAAGCGAATTTCGCCGACGCCGGAGGGATATCGTTAAAGCCGTGGTACACATTCCCTGGGATGTGACCCAATGTCTATAAATTAATAGTTGGTAACGCGGTTTCCTTCAGCCATGGGTGGGCGAAATTCGGGGAACAGGGGGGAGGGTCTGCGGAGAACATCCGCCGCAAGGGGGAGTGGCACATTGAGGGTGCGTTCGATAGCGCGGTTTCCCAGACCCAACCGCACCCAACCTAGTAATCTAGACATTTCATCTTTCACACTCGGAATGAACCGCGGCTAACCGCCCAAAGCCGAACGCATGGGACGCGACCAATGTGACTATCGATTCCACCGGCTTGTAAGGGGGAAAATTACCGCCGCGGACTGTCCACGAAACTTTTCATACTTTCGTGGACAGGCCCTACTTTCATGGATACCACATGGAAGTTTTGCTTCTCCCCTGGACTCCGTCAATACTTTCGTTGACTCCAGGCTAACTTCCATGGACACACGCGAATTTGAAACACAAAAAACATACAGAACTGTACAGATGCTGACGGGAGGAAAATAAAAATAAAAATTATGGCGTAATCAAGTCCATCGCGAAAACTGTAGTCGCAAGCTACAGTAAGTGCAAGCCACCAGGTGCGCTAGCTGTCTCGCATGTTTAAAGAAACACTGAAGCGATCCTCAAAATTCATTTGAATGACTGACGAAGCGGTATTAGTTGAACGACAAGTAAAGCAGATCGAAAAGGCTAAATCTCGCTAAAAAAAATATTCATGCTGTAGAATAAAAATAGATATTATGGTTACAAGGTCAATAGAGTTCAGTAAAAATCGTAGTAGTCCCAAGATAACGGTTTGGAATTTCTACCCACCATGAATCGGGAATACCATAGACTCTGGCATTTTAAATTATTTCAATGAATAGTAAGTGGGATTTTTCAATAAAGATATGAAATCTCATAATACCAATAATTTTTGGTAAACATGGCTATATAAATGGAATGTTTCAGGCCTTTATATTATTATTAGTAAAAGTTTGTTCCATAATAAAATATTAGGCCAAAAAAATACAATTATTTTACATTCACAAATTTGGGAATATGCTTTCCAATTTTGAATGAAAAACATACTTCAATGCGAATAAAAACAAGTGATTCTGAAAAAAAAACAAAAAAAAAACTATTTCTCTGATTTTTTTTTCGTTTACAGAATTCATAATAATGAAAAAATGTACTATGAAGGAGAAAAGAACCGTTGATTGATGATGGCTTGATCAAGGACGTGCATAATATGTTTTTGTTGAGTAGTTCTAATTTGAATGAGAAATGTTTCTATTATCAACTTATACATATGTTCTATGTAGAAGTTATAGGCTAGACTAGGTGTGTGCTTCTAGTGAGTACAACCCAACAGGTATATGTTATAGGTTTCTCTTCCTAGTCTACTCATTCTCGTTTTCTAACATGGTATCGAGTAGGTTAGGTCCACCCACCCGCTTCCGCCCGCGCCCTAGCCTCTCGCCTCCCTCTACCTACCTAGCCACGCCCGGCCCTTAGCGCCCGCTTGACCTGTAGCGCCCGCCCGCCCCTTAGCGCCCTCCTGGCCCCGTCGTGCCCTCCTGGCCTCCGTCGCGCCCTCCAGGCCCCGTCGCGCCCTCCTGGCCCCCGTCGTGCCCTCCTGGCCCTGTAGTGCCCTCCTGGCCCCCCGTCGCGCCCTCCTGGCCCTGTCGCGCCCTCCTGGCCCCCGTCGCGCCCTCCAGGCCCCGTCGCGCCCTCCTGGCCCTGTAGCGCCCTCCTGGCCCCCGTCGCGCCCTCCAAGCCCCGTCGCACCCTCCTGGCCCCCGTCGCGCCCTCCTGGCCCCGTAGTGCCCTCCTGGCCCCCCGTCGCGCCCTCCTGGCCCCGTCCCGCCCTCCTGGCCCCCTCGCGCCCTCCTGGCCCCCGTCAAGCCCTCCGGGCCCCGTCGCGCCCTCCTGGCCCTGCGTCGTGCCCTCCTGGCTCCGTAGCGCCCTCCTGGCCCCCGACGCGCCCTCCAGGCCCCCGTAGCGCCCTCCTGGCGCTCGACGCGCCCGCCTGGCCCTGTCGCGCCCGCCTGGCCCCACCGCGCCCGCCTGGCCCCGCCGCGCTCGCCTAGCCCCACTGCGCCCGCCTGGCCCTGTCGCGCCCGCCTGGCCCCATCGGGCCCGCCTGGCCCCGCCGCGCTCGCTTGGCCCCACCGCGCTCGCCTAGCCCCACCGTGCCCGCTCGGCCCCACCTAGCGCCCGCTCGGCCCCCAACCTAGTGCCCGCCCGGCCCCACCTAGCGTTCGCCCGGCCCCACCTAGCGCCCGCTCGGCCCCACCTAGGGCCCGCCCGGCCCCACCTAGCGCCCGCCCGGCCCCAACCTAGTGCCCGCCCGGCCCCACCTAGCGTCCGCCCGGCCCCACCTAGCGCCTGCTCGGCCCCACCTAGCGCTCGCCCGGCCCCACCTCGCGCCCGCCCGGCCCCTCCTAGCGCTCGCTCGGCACTTTCCTCAGCGCCCACCCGGCCTCTCCTCCTACCTGCCCGGCTCTTGCGGCTTGTGTCGTCTGCTTGCCGAGCTGGAGCGTCTTGTCGCTGTCCTGTGGAGCTGTGCCGCTGTGTCCCTGTGTCGCTGATTCTGCACGATGGCTGAATTCGTCCTCTGCCTGGACGTTGAGGGCCACGCGGTTGACTTCGCCGCCTAGCTGTCCGATCTCCGCCGTCACCTCACAGGTCAGTCGGTCCGATCTCCGCAGATGGGCACTCCTTGGTTGTCCATGTTGATGGCGTGCTCCCCCGCCCCCCTGCACCTGCTCCCCTCCCTGCTGACCCCACCTCTACTGAGCGTGAGGTGTTCCCTGCTGCTGCACTTGCATGTGCCATCTGGGACTCTCGCGTTGCAGTTGCTCAGGTCGCTATTAGTCATGCCCTCCCTCTGCTTGAGCGTTCGCGTTTTGCTATAGTTGATACAGCCAAGGCTTACCTAGATGCTGTAGTTGCTCGCTATTCCATGCCTGCCTCTGCTACTGCAGGCCGCCTGCTCTTTCCTATGCTTTTCCCAGACCTTGCTTCCTTCCCTACTGTTGCTGATCTTGCCACACACCTGCGCGCCCTCGAGTCCCGCTACCGCACTGCTAGCACAGTTGCCCAGCTCGCTGCGCTCCCTCCCCCCTTCTGCATGACCCTCTACTTTATCGCTATGCGCCTGCCTGACCGCCTTGCTAGTGCCCGCGACCACATCCTTAGCCAGCACCCCGGTGACCTCACCCTGACAGCCTTTGTCACCGCCCTGACCGAGATCGAGACTCGCCAGCGCACTATCGCTCAGTCGAGCGGTGCACCGGCGGTCTCTATCTTTCACGGCTGTGCCCCCTCCCAGTGCACGTTTACTGACGTTTCGGTTGCGGTCGCTACTACGACCCCTCTGACCGAGACTGCCGTTGCCGTGCACTCGCAGCAGCGCCAGCGCCGCGCCGGTCATGGCTGCCAGGGAGGGCGTGGTGGTGGAGCTGGTGGTGGTGGTGGTGGTGCCGGGGACAGTGGTCCTACTGAGGGGACTGCCGCAGCTAGTCCGGAGCAGTAGCCGTCGCCCCAGCAGCAGGAGCAGCCGCCGCAGCCGTCGCAGCAGTCACAGTCGTCCCCGCATCTGTCCCAGCCCCAGCCGTGGGCTCATCTCCCCCCGGGTTGGCCCGGCACCTCCGTGGGAAGTGGCCGTGGTGGCGGCCCGCGCAGCTTGGCGTCTCCTGGCAGCTCCGGTGGTGTGACCTGCCAGTACCAGCTTCAGACCAGGCCTCTCCGCGGCACTCTGTGCCGCCGCCCGCACCCGACCGCCCGCTGTTTCCGCCGCCTCAACGATCTCTTTCGTCGTCGCTTTGGCCCGGCCCCGGACCTCCCCGACTGGCACAGCCTGCTCCGCCAGGGCGTGCCGATCTTTGAGTTAGACATGGATCAGATAGGTGCTGCTTTGCATGCCTTGTCTCTTGACGCTTCTAGTGTTGCTGGATCTTATTACCCTGTGTACTCTAGTTTAGGTGTTGCACCCTTGTGTAGCTTAGCCTCCCCTGCTGCGTCAGGCGTAGGACTGCCTAGTTTGCCTAGCCTAGTCTCTGCACCGGCTCCGTTCCCGGCCTCCGCCACTGCCTCGCTGTCCTTCACTCTCGACTCCGGTGCTTCTGCCTGCTTCTTCCGCGATCGTTCTACGCTCACGCCACTTTCAGCGCCTGCTGTCGTCTCTCTCGCTGACCCCTCTGCGGGTCCTGTCGTCGCTCGCAGCTCCACTTCCCTTCCCTGTCCAGCAGTTCCCTCGGGCTCCCTTACAGACCTCCACACTCCCTCGTTCTCGAGGAACCTGGTTGGTGTCGGCTGTCTCCAGGACCTCGGCGTCACCACTACGTTCCCCGGGCACGAACGGTTCGCTGTCTGTTCTGAGGCTGTCTCAGGTTCCCCCCTTGCGATGTTCCCCCGGGACTTGGTGTCCGGCCTGTTCACCCTAGACACCGCTTCCCCCCCGGTTGGTGCGTCCTCCCAGGTTGCTGCAGCTTGCTTGTGTCGGTCCCTCACTCACCCGTCCCTTCTGTGGCACCACCGCTTAGGTCACCCTGCTCTCCCTCGTCTGCGTCACATGTCCCAGCACGGTCTTGTCTTAGGCCTCCCCACGTCGCTCCCTGCCCTCCCCCCCTCGACTGCGCCACCGTGCACGCCCTGCGTCGAGGGCCGGCTCCGCCATGCCCCTCACTCCTCCTCGCTGCGCCCTGCTACTGCCCCCCTTCAGACCCTGCACCTGGACGTCCGGGGCCCTGCCCCCGTCCCCGGACCGCGTGGTGAGCGCTACTTCCTTGTGCTCGTCGACGACTTCATGCG